TTATATATTTTTTTGAGTTATTACCCTGTCTTTCTCCTTAAAAAGGACGCAAGGCGGGTTACCGCCTTGAAAGACCATCTTCAAAGCCGAAAACAATGATGCCGGCTAGTAACTCCTGCAGCCTTAATTATTGCAAGGGTGAAATAACCCCCCTGCACAGGCTCTAAAAGGTTTGGGCTGATGAGTTGAAATGTCTTATTCCTCCTCCTCCTCCTCCTTCTCTCTCTCTGTCTGTCTCAGCCGAGCCGGTGCGACCCATTGACCCCGCAGCTTGGATCTCTCATACCACGGCCCTGACGGGAGCCTACCCACCTTACGGTATGAGCCCCTCCATGAGCACGGTCACCTCTACCAGCTCCTCACTAACAAGCTCCATTCCCGATTCGGAAAGTAAGTCCCGCTCGCTGCCAGGACTGGGGCAGGTTTCCCCTCCTGCCGGCAGGGTAGCGCTCAACCCGCCCACCAACAAACCAAAATGCACCAGGGAGAAAAGCCTTAGGCTGGTTGGTTTCCTCTTTTCTCACCTCCCAAAGGGGAGGTGAAAAACCTGAAACCAACTCCCGCCCCTTTAAGAGAGATGAACCACACTGTCCAAGCGATGGTCCAATCAGCAGGGTGGGCGGGCTTAGGAAACACCCTGGTAGCCCTTAAAGGGGATGGCGATCCTTTTTCCAAACTTCCCATGTCTCTCATATCAGGAGCTAAGGAGCTGCCTAAAATTCCCAGAGGTTTTCACTGCCAGCTGTGCTGACCAGGATTTCTGGGAATTGTAGTCCAAGAACATCTGGGGACCCAAGGTTGGGAAAGCACCATCGTACCTCCTGTATGTTCAAATAAAGAGCCAAGCTGCCTTACTTGTGTGGTTTTCAGCTCCCAGAATCTCCCAGTAGGCCTTCCAAGTAGCCCTGTTGGTTAGGGGATTATGGGAGTTGTAGTCCAGGAAACCAAACATCTAAAGAGGAGGAACACCTGGGCTTGTAAACAGAAGAAAACGCATGCCACTGTTGCTGAAATTTCCTAGTGAAAGGGCTTGTTCCAGACTTTTGGGGAGCTTTTGGAAGTTAATTTAAAACAGAGATTTCCTAGGTTTTTTAAAAAAATTATTGTCTGCAGATTTTAGGGTTTCTTTGTTCGCATTATAATCATCATCATGATGTTATGGCGACCCTTTTCAGGGTTTTCTAGGCTGAGAAGTGTTTTTCCAGTCCATTCCTCCAGGGGGTGCCCTGGGACTGTACAGCTTGCCCAGGGCTACACAGGCTGGCACTCCGTGCTTGCCCAGGGCTACACAGGCTGGCACTCCTTGCAAGAGGCACAACGGGGAATCGAACTCCCAGCCTCTGGCTCTGCAGCTATAGACCTAAATCCAGCCAACTTTGTTCTCATTAATACCAGTGAAATAGCCTTAAGGATCCTTCCCTCAATGTCAGCCATAAAAGCACTTGCTACCTTTATTGTGTTTTATTTTAAAGAATCTCCCCAACCATATCCCCCTTTGCCCTGCAGTACCATGCACAATTTTACACAGACTTTTGAGATCCCTCGTATCTCTTTCTGTCTGCAGAATTTGCTGTTGGCACAAAATATGGCATTTTCTGCATTCCTTTTAAGAGGGGCCTGGCCTATCAGCTTCTTTGATACCTGAGCTGGGAGTGCAGTTGTAGGGCGCCTTCCTAATCACGGTGCTGAAAAGAGGGCTGTCGAAGAAAGTACAAATAAAGAAGGGCAGTGCTGTGGAACTGGGCAGCTGATCGAATTTCATCAAGGGGAGAAGAGGAGCAGGTCTGATAAAAGGGGAGACCAGGTCCATTTCTTAAGCCAATAATGCCTAAGCTTTTGATAGGAAGGGTAGCTGCGTTTGTCTTCTGGAGCAAAACAGTGAAGATTTGTGCAGTTGCGTTGACTATAGCATTAGCTTTTATGCGGTCACAGCCAACTTCTCCAAGTGCGTGAAGTGTCATTTTGGAACTCCCAAGTATATATGCAGTAATATGATTTTAAAAAGGCTGTTGAAAGATCACCTTTGACGCGGAACTCTCAGTAGCTAGCCCCGGCAATCAGATTCCCTGCATATATACTTGAAGTGCTCTGTGCATCGGTGACAGTGAGCTCTTTAAAAGTCCATGATTTTTTTTAAAAAAAGTCACTTTTTTGCCCTCTGATTAAATTTGGAGGGCTGCCTTGCTCCTACTGGGATCCCCCCCTCCCCATGGTTAGCTTTGCGGGGAATGGGCAAAATGCCTTCTTTAAAGAGCATGAACAGCCCAGTTAATACATGCTTCGGAAATATGGAAACCTGTTTTTGGAGCAAGTAAGGGCAATTTTTCAAGCAGTTGTCGCTTCAGACTTAGAGGAACCCCTTGACGCTTTCTAAATTTGTTGACCTTCCTTCCCCCTTTATTTTCACCAGCCTAATACATCTGTGCTTACACCGTTTCTTTAAGCCTTTCATTCTAAAAACAATGACTAGGAGGGATCAGTTGTATATATAAAAAAACTATATTTGTGAGCCCTGGGCTATTTCTGACACCTTCATCCCATCAAGTTTAACCCACACAGAATACAGGAGGTGCAGTTGGAAAAAAAGCACCTGTTGAGCCACTGTCGTGGTTCTTAGGATCTCCCTAGATTTTTGGACTACAGATCCCATTAGCCCTGACCCAACAGGGCCAGTGGCCAAGGATTCTGGGGAATTGCGTCTGGAACGAACCAGGCTGTTTGGTCTCTCTTTCATCCATGAAGGCAGGCAGCCCTCCTCTTCTCGACCCTTCTCGGTGGGCTTGCTTGGGGGTTTCCCGCAGGGAAAGACACAATCCGGTTTTCCTGCCTCGGGCTCCGGACCTCTTCGAATCGGAAGGTTCTGGAATGTGACGACAAAAACCCACGCACTGCTTTTCTCGCTACTAACTGAACTAATGTCCAGCCCAGTGCTAAATCACGGGTGCAGACGGCGGCTGCTTATAATCGGTTGCATGTGGAACTCGGGAGCCCTTCGGGGTGTGGGGTGGTGGAGGATAAAGATATAAGGGTTGAGGATGGTGCTGGTGTGTGTTGTGGGTCTGTGGAGTTGCATGGCTTTGAACCTGGATGCCTCCATGTATTTGTTTATTTTTGACAGGAGACACCATGTTTTCATGTGCTCTCTTCCTGGTGGACTGTACGTGGTGGGCCGATTAAGGAAAGCTCTTTGCAATGTCCCTTTAAAACAAGGTGCACCTTGTTTTCAAAACCAGATCGTGCTCCTGGGAGGTGAGCTGGGAAGACTGCTGGGGTCGAAACTCTGAGGTACAAACACGTCCCATGCACCTTGTTTTAAAGTGGAACTGGGGTGCGTGGGAGGCGTACCCAGATATTTCCACATTGACATCTTGAATGGCTTTAAAACAAGATGCACAAGGAGGGTGTACCTTGTTTCCAAAAACCTCAATGCCTTATTTACCTCACAGCAGGTTTGCCCACCTGGGAAGTTCGTTTCTCTTTCTCTTTTTTCTTGTTGTTGTTTCATTAGCCTTCATTTCTTGCTCCATTTACCCTGCTCTGTTCCGCCTTCCTCCCTTTTCTAGAACTAGACGAATCCCCCTTGACGGTGAAAAGCGACATGGCCACCATTGTGAAGGTGATGCAGCTGCCGGACTCAGGCCTTGAAATTCGGGACCGGATGTGGTTAAAAATCACCATCTCCAACGCGGTGATAGGTGAGGCTCTCACACCTCCCAAGACTCTTTGGCGGATTTACAAATGGCGGCGGTGTGGTTGGAGGAGGCAGGAGGGATAAGGCACGTGAGCGTTCCTCCCCATTCCTCCATCCTCTGCCCAGCATCTGACAAAGTCATGTGACCCACGTTGATCCAATTAGGGAGCAAAGCTCTGCTGACCTACCTCGGAGGGCTGTTGTGAAGCTTACTTACCAAAATCATAAAATCATAGAATAATTGAGCTGGAAGGGGCCTATAAAGCCATCGAGTCCAATCCCCTGCCCAAAGCAGGAATCCCAATCAAAGCAAATCCAACATATGGTGGTCCAATTTTCTCTAGAATGCCTCCAGCCTCGGAGCGCTCACCCCCTTCCATTGTTGTACTGCTCGAACAGTTAAGAAGTTTTTCCTGATATTCAGCCTAACTGTAGCTTCCTGTATGCCCTGCAGTCTGTCATGACCGAGAACAGATCCTGCCCCTCCTCTGTATGAGACGACCCTTCAAATATTTGAAGAATGCTACTCTCTCTCCTCTCGAGGCTAAACCTGCCCAGTTCTTTCCTCCTGGGGCTTGGTTTCCAGTCCCCTGATCCTCATCCTTGTGGCCCTCCTCTGAACCTTCTTCAATGGTGATGTCTAGAACTGGACAACAGTTGACAAGATGACTTCTGGACATTCTTGACTGAACAAAACTCCTCTTTTCCAGGGGCCGACGTGGTCGACTGGCTTTATACGCACGTGGAGGGCTTCAAGGACCGGAGGGAGGCCCGGAAGTACGCCAGCAGCATGTTGAAACATGGATACCTCAGGCACACGGTCAACAAAATCACCTTCTCGGAGCAGTGCTATTACGTCTTTGGAGATCTCTGCGGCAGTAAGTCTTCCTCGTGCTCTTTCGGTGCTTCCCTCGGGATGTGTGTTTGCATCTGTAAATAATTGTGTTCGGTTTCCCCCAGTTTTAGACTGGGGAAGCAGGGAATTGAACTGGGCAGCCTTGTGCAGGAGCCTTCGGTTCAGAGTGGTCCTGGATGTTCCCTGTTATCCGTGGTATGTCCTGGCAGGCTTTTCTGTCTTGTCTCCCTAGATCTGGCTGCCCTCAACCTCAACAACGGCTCCAGCGGAGCGTCCGATCAAGACACTCTGGGGCCCCTCCCGCACCCGGCCGCATCTTGGCCCCTTGGGCAGGGCTATCCCTACCAGTACCCCCTTGCCCCTCCCTGTTTCCCGCCGGCTTACCAAGATCCAGGTTTCAGCTATGGGAGTGGCAGCGCGGGCAGTCAACAGAGCGAAGGTAAGCCCTTTCCCGGTTGTTCCATTCCTGCTGTTTGTTGCCTTTGGGTGGGGTGTCCCTCTGCTTGGCCTTTGCTGTTCGCCCTCTTCCCCCTTCTTGTGGCTCACTCCCCCTCCCGGCGTGGCTCATGCATGGAATTGCCGTATTTTTCCATGTATAAGACTATACTTTTGTCTAAAATCTTTAGACTAAAAATTGAGGGTCGTCTTGTACACAGAAGTAAGCTGAGGAGAGAACAAAAACAAGTGGAGGGGAAAGCAGGGATCAAAGCGATCCTGCAGTGCTTTGATCCCTTCCCCCCCACCCTTGCTAAGCCCCACTTAGATTTCTTAATTTTGGATTAGAAAAGTGGGGGGGCGTCTTATACATGGGGGAGTCTTATACATGGAAAAATACAGGCAATTTCTTTCTGCTACAATGGAAAGGCTGCGTGACGGATGATTTTGTTTTCTCTCAGCTCGCCAGGCTAATCTCGCAAGTGTCTCGGCTCTCCAGATCAAGGGGGCAGGGCTTTGCTTTTAAATCAGAGGCTTGGTATATTTACTTTATTGGGAGCAACCTCTGGAATCTCCCGGGCAGCATGGCCCAAAGTAAAATGCCCACGATCTGTTTTAAACGTCCTGATGGTTTATTGAATCGCATAGGGTCTGGTGAGGATTCACGTCCCAGCGCTGTTCTAGTTTTCCTGGTGGTTTGTCCACACAGGCTGGTCTTTTTGGTTTGATTGTGCTAACCTTGGTCCCTTTTCCTGTACCAGTTCTGCCCTACCAGTTGCGTGTTCTTTTTCATTTACCCAGCAAATCGGTTGGCTGGGAAGCCAGACATTCGCCATGTGCAAAAAGTAACTCATTTCAACTTCCATTGTCTCCATCACAGTTCCAAGAGGGTAATGCTGCTTAAACAGAGGGGCCAGAATCTGTAGCAGTTACAGCATAAAAACCCTGAACACCTTCCCCCTTATGTTCTGGATATTCTGGTGCACGGTTTATAGATTGTTTTGATCGAGCACCAATTTCCAGTTAGTTCGTAGAAGAATCAAATCACGGAAGGGACCCAGAAGGCCATCAAATCCAACCTCTTGCTCAAGCCAGGAATCCAAATCAACGCAGATTTGACTGGTGGATGCCCAATTTTCTCTTTAATGCCTCCAGTGTGGGAGCGCTCACCACCTCCTGGGGTCATGGGTTCCATTGTCATACTGCTCTAACAGTCAGGAAGTTTTTCCTGATTTTCAGCCAAAATCTGGCTTCCTTTAACTTGAGCCCATTATTGCATGTCCTGTACTCTGGGATGATCAAGAGCAGATTCTACCCCTCCTCTGTAGGACACCCTTACAAGTATGGTGGTGCCCAGCATAACGGGCGCCCCGTTTCACGACGAATCCGCATAGCAAAGATTTTGCGATCGCAAAAGCGATCGCATTGCGATGTTTTAGATAGCGAAAAATCGCTTTGCGATGATCGGTAAGCTGTTTCGCTTACCGATTTTTGCATAGCGATGTTTTTTCTAACAGCTGATGGGCGGTTCCAAAATGGCTGCCAGGTTAAAAAAATGGCCGTCCGCTGTGTTTTCGCGCCCTTTCCTCTCTTACCAGGCAGCGAAAATGGCGGCCGTATGGAGAATTTTCGCTGAAAGGTGAGTTTTTTGCCCATAGGAATGCATTAAACATGTTTTAATGCATTCCTATGGGCTTTTTTGTTTCGTATAGTGACAATTCCACATAGCGACGATTTTTCTGGAATGGATTATCGTCGCTATGTGGGGCACCACTGTATTTGAAAAGTGCTGTCATAGCTCCCCTCCGTCTCCTTTTCTCATGGCTAAACATCCCCAGTTCTTTTAGTCTTTTCTTAGTTTCTGGGTCATCCTTCAAGATCTTAGTTACCTATGAGGCACCTCAAATTAAGTACCTAGTACCAAAATGGTCTGGAGCCAGGATTTCTGAAAAAACCCTTTCCCTTCCCCATGAATATGTCGTTGAGGAGTTTTGTTGAAGAGCCTGCTATACCTTCCGCATCCAGAGAAGGTTAGGTGGGTTGAAAAGCGAAACAGGACCTTTTCTGTAGCAGCCCCCCATGGCAGAACTCCCATTTTGGGAAAGACAGAACCCTGGTCAGCTGAGGGACCGTGATACTGCGGAGTCTCCAGCGGACAGGAATTGCAGACACCATAGATGTGTTGAGCAAAGGCTACCCAAGACAAGAAAGCCGACGGCTTGTTCGTTTTTCTTTCTACCTCTTTCTCGCTAATGTGTGTTGCTGCTGTTATGTCATTTCCCTTGGGAGGCAGGTCTTTTGTAACCATGATTATTCCCTTGTTTTGTCCTGAGCAAGCCTTAGACTGAAGGATTCATAAAGGAATGGCTGGGATTGGTAAGCGTCTCATACCTCCGTTTAAAAGCTATTATTATTGGTCCATAGCATGATCATCTAGATCCTCATGGCCTCCCTCTCTTCCCGACTTTGGAACTTTCTAGCTTGTTTCTCCGAACTCTTTTTCTCCTCCTCCTCCTCCTGCTTTATTTTATTTTGAATTCTCTGGACCCTTTGGCCCAGACCTTGCAGGGTCTTAGGTCATTCCGGGGAACCCCTTGACTGTCACTTGCTTGCTTTTCACCAGTTAGATTTCAGGACCACGGAGAGTTCCATTGCCAGAGAGAAGTTGCTCCTGCACATACTGGAGAACCAAAGAGAGGATGCGGGCCAGTTGAGTTCTGCTCCTGTCTGAGAGTCTGGAGGAATGTCTGTGGGTCTCTCTGTGGGTCCGTACAAAGGCCACAGAATGGTCCTGGATGGTTGGTGAGAAGACAGAACCTCTAATTCTAAGAGTTCTAGAAACAAGGCCACATCTCAGTGGTTCTAGTTGTCAAGGAACTGTCCACCCCCTTCGGGAGGATGTTTGATGTGAGATTCCCCGTCTATTGTCCCCTAGTGGTTTTGGCACCGCTTTCTGCCTTACCCTATAAGAAGTTAACATTGCTCCTTCTCGCAGCAAATTCAGGTTGTGGTTGCCGGTGTGGAACAGTGGCCAGAATCAGGTCCTTGAGAAACAAGGAAAGGAAGAGCATGCTTGGAGGAACCTGAAGTTTGTAGAAGTTTTTAAAACAACAACAATGGGGATTATTTGTTCATTTAAAAAAAAGCAGTTTCTCATAGGAACAAAACCTCCAGAAATTAGCTGAATAAGGACCAAGCATGTCCAATAGTTGTGGAATTGATCGTGAAACATGGGGGAGAATGGGATGGACCGGCAGGAGAAGGTGACCAAGAAACACTTCTTTAGAGACGGAAGACCTCCTGGAATATTTTCTTGTAGTTGTTTGGGGTAGCAATCTCAGAGCTTCGCAGACTAAGTGTCATCAGGAAGTGCTTCTCTGCCCTTGAAGTTTAGGGTTGGTTGGTTTCAATCAGACCTTTGCTTTGCTTGTGTTTGTGGTTCCATATTTTTTTTTTTTTAACCGACAAGCGGGTCCCTGCCTTGCTTTCCCAAAGCTTTTGGGCTGTTCTCTTGAGTCTCCATGCATGGTCAAATTGCATCTTTCTGTGCCCCAGTGATCCTCCCCATCCTGAACCCTGTAGCCGTCGGTAGCATGCAAGAGTCAACGTCGTGTGGATGCTCGCACTGTCGATGTCCTGTGTCCATTTTTTCAAGGGGGAGATGTTGACGGGCGAAGGACGCCAAGCTCGGCTCATCCACATTTGCTTGTTCATTTAACCGGCCGCTCTCTTCCCTGTTTTCCCATCTTGACCCACTCCAGGGAGTAAAAGCAGTGGCTCCAACCGAAGCAACAGCGAGCACAGCCGGAGGGCTCTGAACTGGGAGAAAGACCGCAAGTCGGCCGGCAGTGGCAGCGAGTCGGATCATGCCCCCCGGAGCGGGGGAGGGGGGAGCGTGGTGCGGCGGGAGCGGCCCCCCAGCCAGCTCAGCCACCGCAGCCACCTCTCGGCCACCGCCAGCGAGAGGAGTCCTCGCAGCCACCATTCGTATGGGCCCCCGGGGGTGCCCCCGCTCTACACCTTCCCAAAGCTGGGGTCCAAGGTCTACGGGACGAGCGGCCCCCCTGGCGGGCCCCCCGTGCGGGAACTCAGCTCCGTGCCTCCCGAGCTGACCGGGAGCCGCCAGTCCTTCCAGAAGGCCATGGGCAACCCTTGCGAGTTTTTCGTGGACATTATGTGAACGGAAGTGCCTTCAAGCGAATCCACGCGAATTTGGGGTTTCCTTTTGTTGGACCAACGTCGGACATGGGAAAGGACAAAAGCCACCCGTTGGGATAGAAAGAAGGGCCGAGCAAAGCGGAAGAAAACCTCCTGGGACTCTCTTTTGCATGTCAAATCGCTGTGACTCTAAATTTGTGTTTCGCAAGTCAACGAAGAAGGGAAATTGCGAAATTGTTAAATATCCGCAAATTGACGGAAATCTCTCCCAACTTTTTATTATTATTATTTTGGTTCTCTCCCGGCCTTTCCCTTTCGTTCCGAATGTGGTTGATGGATGTGCTTCCCACATAATGCTGGTGGTGATGATGATGATGACCTCCTTCTTGCTTGGTTTCCTGCGGCACTCCTTTTCAGTGCAACAAAACTGTGTTTCCCCCGGGGTTGCGCGAGGAATCGCGTTTTAGGTCATGCTTTTCCGAAGGAAGGGAAATAGGAAAGGGGGAAGGGAAGAGCCGCTACAGATGATTCTCCCTTTCATGCGTATTTGCACCTTTAAAAAGAAACAAAAAAGAAGTGTTTTGGTTATGTAGGTTCCCCTCCCCCTTTCCCTTCTTCGGGGGGGGGAACATCTGTTTCTGTTTGATTTGGGTTTTCGAGCTCCGATAAAGACAAGGCTCGTGATTATTACTGCTAAGTTGTAAGGACTTCCGTGAGCAGTAAAATTTAGATTTTGCTCCCAGTAGAATCTAGGCCGTGGCTTAGGCAGAAGAAGTGCATTCTGGGAGCTCAACGAAGCTTCAGCATGTTCTGTTCGGTCTATTTTTGCTTTGCTATTCAGGGTTTATTTTGCACTAAAGCCTATACCCTGCATTTACCCAGAGAAGGAAGAGCAGCTGGATTGAGAGGGAAGCCTTTTCCGCCTGGGAAATGGGGTATTGGCGTTCACACCGGTTTCTTCCTTTGTTTGCGCTGCATGTCTGAAAGAGGAGGGCGACCCGTGTTTGCGCTGCATGTCTGAAAGAGGAGGGTGGTCGACCCATTGAGGGCCTTGAGCCACAAAACCCCGCATTTACTTACTTACTTACTTTATTTGATTTATACCCCACCTATCTGGGCTGATGGACCACCTTCAAGTTGAAAAGTTCTTATGTTGAATCTGCATTTCCCATAGGAATGCACTGAAAACCATTTAATCCGTATCTGCTCTTTTCCATCCATAGAAACTACAGTGGAACCTCTACTTAAGAACTTAATCGGTTTTGGAATGGTGTTCTTAAGTTGAAACGTTCTTAAGTTGAAGCACAATTTCCCATAGGAATGGACTGAAAACCAATTAATCCGTTCTGGCTGTTTTTTTGTTATGTAGAGGTGCGTTCGTACATTGAAGCATTAGTTCCCATAGGAACTAATGCAAAGCTGGTTAATACGTACTCTACCACTAGGGGGAGAATTTTTTTTAACCTAAGATGACCTAAGGTTAAAAAAAGAGCAGGAAAGGTTTTTTTCCCTGTTCTTATCTTGGATTTCTGTTCTCAAGTAGAAGCAAAATTTAGCAAATGGAGCTGTTCTTAAGTTGGATTGTTCTTAAGTAGGGACATTCTTAAGTAGAGACCCCACTGTATACCCCACCTATCTGGGCCGATGGACCACTCTAGGCGGCTTCCAATATAAAATTAAACAATAAAATACAACAGATACATAGCTAATACAAAACAACTAGAATAAACTAAAAAATAGGACAATAAGAAGAAGAGAATCAAGAATTGGCTGGAGGGAAGGCCTGAATAAATAACCATGTTTTAATTGGGTTTTGAAGATGCCCAGTGTAGGGGCCGCACGAATTCCCGGAGGGAGATTGTTCCAAAGGCGAGGAGCCACCGCCGAGAAGGCCCGGTTTCGTGTCTTCTCCTTCCGGGCCTCTCTCGGCGTCAGGCTCCTCAGCCTCACCTCCTGACTCGCACGGGTGATCCGGGTAGACCTTGGTGGCCTGGATGATCTCCGGGGTCCCTTCCCGCCTTGCAGTTCTAAGGTTGGAGCTGAGGTTATGAGGGCGCTAGGACCTGCCCTTCGGTTTCTTTTCGTTAAAACGGGCCAGGACGTAGAGCATGTTGCAAAAATAGCCGGCACCCTTGTTAGAGGCGATTCCGAAATGTTCAAAGACTCATGTGGCGCCTTAAGGCTGGCCACGTTGGTGGGGCTTAAGCTATTGTGGCCTGGGGCCCACTCTTCAGATGGATGTTGAGTACAGCCTCCGTCAGCAGCGCTGTGGGCAGAAGTGTCTCCCTCCTGGTCTGCAAACTATGGACTTTAATGCCGCATAAAACTTGCTAGCCTTTAAGGTGAGCTAAGACGTTTTGGTATTTTCTGTTGCAAGAGACTGCCCCTCCGGGCAGGTTTTTTTTAAAATATATATTAATTTATTAACTTGAAGAACGGAGCCTCTGTACCTTTTAAAAGAATGTAAGAAAAGAGAGAGAAAAAACCCAGAAGCCGAAATAACCCCTAAACGGAGAAAAAGGAGTTAAATATGATTTATCCTATCCCAGCTGAAGGTTAAAAGGGGGAGAGAAGCATTGCAAGGTCTTTGCTAGTACAGAACAAGGTGTCCCACTGAACATCTAAGATGTGTTACATCTAAGATTTTTTTACAAGGAAATCACTGGTTCAATTGATTGCCTTCCTCTTCCGCTCTGATGGGTTTTTTGTTGTTGTTTTGCCTTTGGTTCTTAGAGGCCGGCCCTTCGTGTGGAATAGTCTTGGTTCCTTAATTAGCCCATCCACGTTCTTTGGACGTTTTGGTATTTTCTGTTGCAAGAGACTGCCCCTCCGGGCAGGTTTTTTTTAAAATATATATTAATTTATTAACTTGAAGAACGGAGCCTCTGTACCTTTTAAAAGAATGTAAGAAAAGAGAGAGAAAAAACCCAGAAGCCGAAATAACCCCTAAACGGAGAAAAAGGAGTTAAATATGATTTATCCTATCCCAGCTGAAGGTTAAAAGGGGGGAGAGAAGCATTGTATGGTCTTTGCTAGTACAGAACAAGGTGTCCCACTGAACATCTAAGATGTGTTACATCTAAGATTTTTTTAACAAGGAAATCACTGGTTCAATTCATTGCCTTCCTCTTCCGCTCTGATGGTTTTTTTTGTTGTTGTTTTGCCTTTGCTTCTTAGAGGCAGGCCCTTCGTGTGGAATAGTCTTGGTTCCTTAATTAGCCCGTCCACGTTCTTTGATTAGCAAAATGAGGTTTTCCCCGGACAAAAAGGAGCAATGGTGGCTTAGAAAGCCACACCGCATTTCTACAAAGAGCTTAGATTTATTTATTGCAGTGACTGGGAGTTAAGCCTGTAGCATCTTAAGAGGCTGAGATGTCGATGGTGTTAAAATAGTAAAGGGAGGCAATGGATAAACGCTTTCCAAATTATTTTCCTGTTTTATCTGCTTGTCTTCTGGATTTTGGTCTATTATGCCCAGCAAACTTGGAAGCAGGATGCTGGGTTCTTGAGCACTTTGGAGCCCACCTCCAATATTAAGGGGGGGGAGCCCTCCCATTTTGAAAACAGCATATACAGTAGGAATTCCCGCATCCGTGCGATCAGTATCCACGTATTCATTTATCCGCTGGCTGAAAATACTGAATTAAAAAAAAAAACCCAGAAATGCTGACTACAGAATTTACAGAATTAAGGGATTTGTGATCCAGAACATCAAAAAAAAAATAGTCCTTTCTCTAGTGCCAGGTACATTTTGCTCTGAGGACGATCATTCTGAAATTGTTCATTTTGTCCAGTGGCTTCTGCCTTCTGCTGGCTGTTTTTGGGTGGTTTTTTCCCCTTGTTTTCAGCCTTGAGATGTAAGACAAGGCGCTAAGATGGACTGAACCTCCCTCCTTGCCCCTTTCTCCGAGCAATTAGAGGGTTTTGCATATTCACACACATACACACTTTCAAACCTTGGCCCCACAGTTGTGGGTGAGAGAATGAAAAAATAGATAAACAGCAGAGAGAGATTTCAGGATTGTGCGCCATAAAAAATGGGTTGATGCAGGGAATGGCACAGACATCATGGGTATATAATTTAGCAGGAAAAGATGCAGGTTCTGCCTTCAGGTGGTATATATATATATATATAATATTTAATATCTACATATATGCAGCAGGATCCAATCAGTGAGCATGGTCACTTCCAAACTTTGGGCTGGAGCATGACAAAATAAGAGAATGTGTGTGGCAAGAAATAAATACATTTTAAATGCTAAAATGTGTCCATTTGGCTTGTAGTGTTTAAAGTGCATGCAAGCAAACAAACACAGAGAACGGAGAATTCCAGGGATGCTCCACCAGCCAAGGGAGGGTGCTCGATATATCCCTGTATGAGATGTTACTCTGGACATCTTCTGCCTCACCTCCAGCCACTACCTTAATGGGAATAACCCAGTCTTTCCTATTGGCTGCCTGGGTCGATCAGCTGCTCAGAAGGCAGCCCAATCCCAAAAGAGTCACTCTTGCAAGCTGAAGAGCACTTAAGGTGACAATCAGATGTCTTTTAACACTTAAGAAACGACAGCTTCCAACGACGAGCTCTCTGTTGCCTCTGTTTGGACCGTATTCTCTGACATTTGAGCAACCCTGTGTCAGCCCTCCTGCATTGGGGGAGGAGCGGGTGGCCTCTTGATGGGTCTCATTCCTTCTCACCCCTTCGTATAACGCATGTGTGTTTTTAAAGTCAAAGTCAAGGCAGTCGAAAATAATCAGAATGGGAAGCGTTCCGTTGTGCTTTTGGTTGTGATGGCAATGTGCGTTTGTGGAAGGAGTTTGTGACTTTGGATTGACAATCGCTGTATAGTTTTGCTTGTGGAAAACCTTTTTCCCAATAGAATTTCTACTTTTCTGGGGCTCTGAGTGGCATGTTTGCCTACCAGCCATGGAACTATGGACCTTAACTGTTCAACCGATCAGGAGGGCACTAAATTGACGAAGATTTTTAAACCTCCTAGTTGATTTCCAAAAACTCTTGGGATTCCACCACCACCACCCCGCCATTTTGTCTTCTATTCTATTATTTTTGGAAGAAATGCACCTTCAGAGGATGTGGAGTTGTTATGACTAAAGCCAGCAGCCTATTTTTCTTGGTGTTCCCCACGCTTTCTGTAATAGCTTGCTTCCCTACAGTGCTTCCCAACCTTGGGTCCCCAAGTGTTCTTGGACTACAACTCCCAGAAATCCTGGCCAGCCCAGCGAGAGGTGAAGGCTTCTGGGAGCTGCGGTCCAAGAACATCTGGGGAACCACCAGGCTGGAGGATGAGATGATGAGTCACCTGCTGTTTGGGCAAGGCTAGGCGTCTGAACTCTTCCAGGAGCTCTCCATGGTGCTGAAGCTGGTTTAGGCTCCAAACCCCTTAGATGGCTCCATCTAAAGTTCTGGCTAAAAGCCTGGAGCGCATTCAGCACCCTCTCAGGAGTCACCAACCATCAGAGGATCAGCCTTCTCAAAAGATCAGACTCTTATCCATCTAGCTAGGTGTTTTCTGCCTTGGTTGACCGTGTCTGTCTGGGATCTCCAACCGGACTCTTCTCCAGCTGTCCCCGCAGAGGGCATGGGGGTTGAACTCGGCATCTTTCATTTGCAAAGGTCTTGCTTTACTACTGAGCCGAAGGCCTTCCCTGTAGCAAATTAGGGCTGACCTTGTAGTGAATCATACACTGGGTCTACCTTGCCTGGCATTGCTCATGCCGACGGTTCAGAATTTCAGACCAGAATCCCGTAGGCACCTCAACCTCAAACATCATCGGCGTGGAAGGAAAACAGTGGTGAGGACTGTTCTGGTGGAACGAACGTTGAAGGAGAGTATCCTCAACAGTCACTTAGCAGCTCTTGGCCCATTATTTCCCCCCCCCTACTGTCACTTTCTTCCCTCCCGCCACCGAAAAAATCCCTGAGCAAAAAAAATTCTGCAAATTTTTTGAGAATCTGCAAAAACATTCTCAAAAAATTGATCAAAAGGGCTCCTTGGGGAAAACCTGAATTAATAGGGAGGAGAGAAGGAGGGAAGAAAAGAAAGATGAAGGGGAGAGCTAAATGAACAGCAGAGAAAGTCAGAGAGTTGGTATTAGGGAAAACGAGAGGGCTTTATGACAAAATGTTGTTCACGAAGCCAGCCGGTCAGCTGTGTTCATTTTCACAAGAATCCCTTCCTTTCCACCCTCCTTGTTTTCTGAGGAATGGAGGACTCGGACCGGATTTTATGGGACCAAAGGAAGAGAGGAACCGGAAGATCAAGAATTGGCTGTACCTCATAAAACAGTCACATGATGTTTTTACAAAGGGCTCTGATGGTCCTTCATCAAGGGTTGGTCTGTGTTGTCTAATATGTTCTGCTGCTCTCTACAACTTCAGACAGAGGTCCCTTTTCAAGTCATGTCCCGGAGGTGCTCAGGCAGGTGTGAGCCTCAAACAGGAGATAATTATCCCCCCCCCAGCCCCATATCCTCAGAACATAAAAGTATCATGTATGAAACAAGTCCTCTTACGCTCTTCGGTTGTTGTTTCCCCATTAAGAAGCTACCTGGATATTTGTGAGATCCATCTAATGATGAGTTTTAAAAGAGGATGTATCTGTTTCTGTGGTTCGTGGCATGACGAAGGAATTGTTTTGTGGTGCTCAGCATTTAGGGGTAATCCTAAATAAGTATATTGCTAAGTAAGTTGTCCAAATGAATTCCATGGTGAGCATGTTGAGGTTGGAGCCTTAAGGTGAAGACAGATGCAACATTTCATAGGTGAAGACAGAGATAAGATTCCAAGGATTGCATCTGTCTTCATAATGAGAAATGCTGCTTTGGTCTTCCCCTTCCCAGCAATGTCTCTTGATCACCTCATGTCCCCAATTGTCTTTCAAAGCAATCTGTCCTTAGGCATTTTATCTAAATGTGATCAGTCAAGTCAGACCTACTCCCTATATGTTGATCCTTGACCCCCCCACCCCCAAGATCTGTGGTTTTCTCGGCCAGGTGTCCCCACCTTGGGTCTGTCAAACTTCAGAAGAGTCCTGGTGTTTTTGGGTTGTGTTTGATTGCACCTGAAATTTGCATTAAACTGGATTGTAATGAGTACTCGGGAAAGAATGATTCATTCATTCAGAGATTAGAAATACAGTACGTGTAAAGAGTATATGTACATTAGAGGAGAAACTAAAAGGTTTAAAAACAGAACTGATGAAAACAGAGGTGGAGGGGGGGACCTCTCTCTCTTGCCCTCTGAATATTAATAGTCCTACAACTGGTTCACCTCCAAGGTTGACTTTTTAATGGGGTGAACCACACTGTTCCCCATTTTAGATGTTTTCTGCATTCTTTGAATTATTTCCTTTTTGTAGATATTGTATGAAAAACTCAAGTTGTCTGTATAGTTAATATATAGCTGCTTACGTGTAAATGCTATTTTAAACACTAAAAAAAAAGCTTTTAATTTTATGTGACTAAGTTACCTTCCTGTGTTTTTTCTTGCGTTGTGGTGAAGGTTCGAGGCGCGAAACATGCACACATGGGCCAAACTGATGGTCTGCAGAGGCTGAACACTGAGAAAGACAAGCTCCCTTTAGCCCCAAAACTGAATTTATGGGTGGGGGCGGGAGGGGCTCAGTCCAGTGGCGGGTAGTACCGAAGGCCAAAGGGTGGGACCAAAAAGAACTTACAAATTTTAAAGCTTATAATTACAATTGTTTAGTTTTTCTTGGCCTGAATGAAAATGTGTGCCTCAGCCTGTCGAATTACTGTGTTTAAAACAACTTCGTTAACTGCAGTGAGATTTTTTTTGGGGGGGGGGTTGTCCTACAGTATACAACAACAAAAATATTGCACATTTTTCAAAGCGGTTAAAAGTATTTACTCATAGACACACACAACTATGATGCCCTATTGGATAAAGTAAGAAAGGTGTGAATTAGTTAATTTTCGGGAGGGATCTAATGTACGGAAGAGCAACCTCTGACTGCAGGTCTGATCCAGTCCTTGGGGGTTCCTCGTCTGGCTGACAGCAGGTCCTGAGAAATCGTCTTGCCGAAGTTTCACACCCACCGTCATGCAGGGAGATTCCTTCATTGAATTGTTTTCCAACTGGGATTACAAATCCCATCATTCTCTGTTTGGGGAGTCCCACCCAATAGACAAGACACCAACAGACCACTGAATGTGGCTCACCTGGGAGGAAGGCCTGGATGGAAAGGCTTTGAGGCCTAGCTAGGCCTAGTTCCACCTAAGCTTCCTGTCCAGAAAGGAAGTGACTGGCGAGCTCCCAGAATGGAGAATTGTGGGGTGTGTAGTCCAGAAATGTTGAATGGCACATGCATAGATGCCGCTGAGAGAGAAGACTGCAAACCTGCAGCCCGTTCCTGACCAGCTTCCAGCCAACGTGGCCTGCTTCTGCATCCAGACGAAAGGGCTGCGGGTGGTCCAACTGAGATCCTCCTTAGAGCCCTTTTCTGTCCTTTCTAGGTCGAGACTCCGTGGGGGTCCAAAGTACGGGGAGAAACCTATCCCTTGGCCTCTGCGGCGCTCGGTTTCTCCTTGTCGGCCGGAGGGTCCTGAGGCAGGCAGCTGAAGTAATCGTCGGTGTTCAGGTGTGGGGCAAAGAGCACCACGTAACACACGGGGTAGTAGCAAGACCCAAAGATGGCCAAGATACTGGCCAGGCCGGCGAAGATCTGAAACAGGGCGACGAACTTCCCTTGGGAGGTGACGTAGGCGGGCAGGAAGAGGGTCCAGATGATGAGGATGAGGACCACGGCGAAGTTGATGGCTTTGGTCGCCCTGCGGTCCATCTGGTTCCCGCCCTGCCCGACCAGGGAGCAGAAGCAGCAGAAGAGCGCGAGGCAGTAGACGTGGGCGAGGAGAGCGGTGAAGCCGGGGAAGGCGCTGTCCTCGCACTGCAGCAGCAGGATCTTGTCCAACTCCGTGTTCTCCTCCAAGAAAGGGGGGTTCCAGTAATACCAGAGGAGGCAGAGCAGGCCTTGGACGGCCGTGTTGAGGAGGATGGAGAAGCCCATGTGATGTTTCCTCAGCCAACGCCGCTTCAAGGTCTGCTCCAGCCCCGAGCGCCGGACGGCCGTCCCCAGCAGCGCGGCTAAGCAGACGGCGAAGCTCCCGAAGAAGATGGGCTGCCGGAGCTTGCAAATCGTGTCGGTGGGCTTGGTGACGAAGAGGAAGCAGCTGGTGCAGCAGCAGGCCGAGGAGAGGATCACGGCGGAGGCGGGGAAGCGGCCCACGTACCGGATGGCGGGGCTGGCGTGGTGCCGGAGCAATACGCCCGTCACGGCCGCCATCTGAGCCAGGGCGAGCCCGGTTAAGGCCACCATGATGGTGGCCAGGAGGTCGGTGACTTCGAGGTATTCGACGGCTCGGTTGAAGCATTTGGTGCTCTGGGCGGGAGACCACTGGTGCTGAGGGCAGGGGGTGCATTCGGTCGGATCTGGGTGGGGGAAAGGACATGGCAAACATGTGAAAGCAAGACAGGAAAGAAAGCTGACAAGGACATGGGAAGCTGCGACACTAGGGAACACTGCCTGTTTACCTTGCCTCCTGACACTGGCTGGCCAGCCTTAGGGGCTAGAAGCACCCTCTCGGCCCGGTTTCGCGTTCATTCATTCGCTCATTCGTTCACTGGTTCGTTCGTTGGTTTGCTCATTCGCTCCTTCAAATTATTTATATGCCACGTGTCTCTCCCCACAAGGGGACCCAGGGTGGCTCACCACAGGGAAAGACCACAGATTTTAAAAACACAATATAAATACCACATTTCGAAAACCCATGACGTGGGTGTTAAGGTTGAGAGCCAATCAAGTTTGAAAAAACTATCGGAAAACGTTTGAAAAAATCTGTAAATTTGGAAAGCCAGCATTCCTGAGATGATTTATGGCTTAATAGAAGGCTGTAAGAGGAAGGTCTTTGCTTGATGATGGGAGGGTAAGAGGGAGGGGGCCATCTTAATAGAAGGCTGTAAGAGGAAGGTCTTCGCTTGATGACAGGAGGATAAGAGGGAGGGGGCCAACTTGGCTTCTTGGGGCCAAGCCTGGGAGCCACCACCGAGAAGGCGCTCCCTCGTGTCCTCACCAAACGAGCTTGGGAAAGGGGCGGACCGGAGAGAAGGGCCTCTCTAGAAGATCTGAGAAGATGAAGAGAGGCTCCTAGGGGGTGATACAATCCTCCAAAAAAAGTCTGGATCCCAGCGATAGAGCTGTTATCATGGACATCAACTTGGTGGAAGGACACCAGCCAGGGAGGTGATGCAGGATCTGGCCTTGCTGGATCGGAGCCCTGGGGCTTTCTGAGCATCAGACATTATGATCTCAACTACCACCCCCCTCTAAATGCCCTCTAACCTCTAAGATTGGTTTTCAGTTTCATAGTAGCTGAGAGAGAGAGAGAGAGAAAAGGACAGGTTTCCTAGCCACAGAAAAAACTCAGATGTCCCTAAAACGGACTTTTAATATGCAGCAGACCATCTTTGTAGCTATGCAGAGTAGTTGATGGGTATGGCCTTGAACAAGCAATTAAGGGCTGTTAGCCTGACAAAAGACCTGCTCCTAATTTCTTGGCGGAGACCCACAGAGCCGAGTGGGTCTCTTCTGGGGCAAGGACGGCCATTTGGGCACCTACTGTTCCAAACTCTTTTCTATATACTGCTTGTACACATTTATTCTTTGGCAGATGATTTTAAAGCCCTAAAGCAGCAGAGCCAGAAGGGACCCTAAGGGGCCATCTAGTCCAGCCCCTCTCAAGGAGGCCCAGTGGAGAATTTGAACTCCTAACCTCTGGCTCTGAGATGGAAACCCCTTCACTGAAGGGACTGGGTAAGTTCTGGTTAAGTGAACAGTTCTTGGTTCCCAACCACCCACAGAATATCTGCTTGAAACGTACGGGCTTGGTCCTGGAAGGAACCAGCCGGGCAGTCTTCGCACTCGTAACAGCAGTTGTGTTCGCCTCTCAGCCATCTCTTCTGCCCCGGTTTGCACTCCTGTGTGCATCTTGAAACTGGCAGCTGCAGAAGAAGAAAGAATGAAAGACCTCTTTCACATCAGATTTTGGAAGGAATGAATTACAAGTTACTTTTCGTTTTTCAGCAAAGCAGGTAGAACCAAGTCCCTTACCCCTGGTTCATGACAAGGAGTCTCCAAGTTACTTTTAAAAGTTACTTTTAAAGCAGAGGGTTGAGTTTTTTTTTAATGAAGTCTGGAGCCATTTTCTCATTCATCTTTGAAAAATAATACAATGGAACAGGCAACAAGTGAAGAATTTGTGCGTTAAACTTTGCCATGCTCAGAGGAACCAGCCTGATGAAAAGAGTCTGGTTTGAATGAGATCAGAATAAGAAAGTGTTATACATTAGAACCCTTATATCCATAGGGGATCACTTCTAAGCACCTCCACAGATGCTGGAAAATGTGGATTATAGCAAACATGACACATAGCACGGTCTCTGGCTCCTTCTAGTGGCCACTTCTGATAACTTCATATTAAAAATATATATTTCTAGGATTTTTTCTTTCCTTTTTTTTAAAAAAATATTTTCAGTCTGTGGATAAGTGAATCAGCGGATACCAATCCCGCGGATCAAGGGGGAGTGTTTCCCACAATATTTGAGTGAATCAGCAGATACCGATCCCGCAGATCAAGGGGGAGTGTTTCCCACAATATATTTTTTCCTTCTGACCTTGCCGTCTTCCGTGTTCCATTTAATCTTTGACTCGTTGACGGTCAGCTGCCTCTCCAGGGCGTCGTAACTCCCGACGATGCCAAAGGTGTGGTTCTTGGGGGGAATCCAGTCCCAGAGGATCAGATCGTAACCCGTCGGCGGATCTCCCGTCTCAGTGAAATAAACAGGCTCCGACTCGACAGTGAAGTTGACCCTTGCGATTTCCTCCAGAAGCTACGAAGAGCAGGGAGTAGATCAGTGCAAAGCCAGCTAAGGAACATCCGAAATAGATGCATCAACTCATCACCAATGATTCGCAGTCTCTTTTCTCCTGAGCCTTTCGAATTAAGAATTCATTACATCCTTGCTAAATCTAACTGATGTAGAACTGACCGGTTTGGGACCTCGATACTTATCAGAGCGCCTTTCTCTGAGATCAGTTACCTACGCCACTCATACCTCTTGGCTTCTGACGCTGCAGGCCAATTTAATTTGGCAACCTGCACGTTGTTCTCCCACCCATGCAGTGATCTGGGTACTCAGTTTACTGACCGCCGGGATCCGACTCGAGTCGTGAGCAGAGTCTTGGCTGCAGTAGTGCACTTTAACCACCATGGCTTGTGAATATTAGGAGGAAAAGGGCCTGGTGCACCTCTATAGGTAGAGAATTTTGCAAGACCAAAGCAGGCATCTCGCGGTCTCCCATGATGAGTGTAGATTCTGTGGTTCCCAGCCTCGGGTCCCCAGATGTTCTTGGACTACAACTCCCAGAAAGCTTCACCCCAAGCAGCGCTGGCCAGGATTTCTGGCCATTGTAGTCCACAAACACCTGGAGCCACGAGGTTGGGACCCACTTCCACCAAAGGCCACGAGGTGTCCGATGGCTTCCTCCCCAGGAGAGGCTACCACGAGGGGACCCCAACACAGACAGAACCAGCGCAGGGCGATCCTGGCGTGCTTTCCCCCGCCCTCCTCTCACTCACTTGCCAAGGGTAGACCTCTCGGTCCGCGTCACACGTCCGGCTTGCGGTGTCGCAGTGGAGCAGCTGATGGAGAGCATGGCCGATGGCGTAGACCGCTTTGTAGGCGTTGAACATGGTGTAGAACCTTGAGTTCTGGATCGCGCGAGAGAAGTTCGCGTACGTCAGAGAACCGCATTCGGGACACTGCTCGTTGACCTCCTCCTCCTCCGTGGTCCGGCCTGGCTGCGGTTGGGCCAGGAGGTTCTGGACGTATTCGGCAAAGCCTGGCATGGCTCCGCTTTTGATGGCGATCCCAAACAGAGTGCCGATGTTGCTGATGCCTGGAATGAGGGCCACGCCGGGGGAGGCCGACCAACATTCACTGGCGATCCACACCCTTCGGGTGATCCTCGTCGCCACCACCGCTCTCAGCAGCGCCTCCGCTTCCTCCGGCGAGGCGAAGACCACGGTGGCGTTGATGTGCGAGTTCTCTAGCCGGTCGGCAATGTCGATCAGCTTGGCGTTTTGCTCTGATGGGTTCAGGCCGTCGGGGAGGATGGCTTCGTACGCCACGCATATGTCCTTCAGGAGGGCCTCCTGGGTGAATATCTCCAGGGCTTGCCGGCCGTACAGGTTGTCCGTGGCCAAGGCGGCCACCCAGTTCCAGTTGAACTTGTTCAGGAGCTGGACGATGGCGTCCGCTTGGCAGCTGTCGCTGGGGATGGTTCGGAAGAAAGAGGGGAAGGTCTGGCGGTCGCTCAGGTAGCTGCTGGAGCTCCCGAAGCTTACCTGGAAGAAGGTAGGAAGAGGTGCGGACAATGAGGATCACCTTCAGAGACACCTTGAATCACTGGCAGCGACGATTCCTTAGCAAGGGTCGGCAACAGGCTGCCCAAAGGGGACAAACAGGCTCAGGGGCCACTTTCTGCCCTTGGGGGCCTTCAAGATTAAGATCCAGGTGCTTTCTAGTTACCTATTTTCAAACCAGCCCTTTCCAGATCTCCTGCCCCTCAAAACAGAGACAAGGGGGAAGGATTCGGCCCACTAGCCCAATAGAGTTCTGTAGGCACGGTCTAGTGGTGGGTTTCCTCCGTAGGTGGGGATTGAACATCAAGGATCCTTGGGGGTCCTTTCTAGCTGCACAGTCCCGTGATTCTAGGATCCGCGCCGCTAATACTGGGTGGCAACAACGGCAGAGTTGGGTGGCAAGAAGGCGTGGAAAAAGGAGCAACTCTCCTGGCATTAGAATGACAGAGCAGGAGTTTGTAAAAACAGTAGCCTATGTGGAAAGGGTCACTTGATTTTTGACTTGATGGTATGCAGTTCTAATTAGGACTGGCATAGGTCGAAAGGGATTTGATGGCACATAACAACGACATAAGTAATAACAAGAACGAGGCGCTTCCCTTTTTGTACCAGGCAGCGATGGGGGAGTTCACGTCCTACCTCTGGGATGGAGAGGAAATTCAGGATCCGAGTCACCAACATGCTGAGGGATGAGCTGCTGGGTCCCACGACAGCAATGACCCGGGGCTTGGCGTTGGCGTAGTCACACTGTGCCGCATTGTCGTTTTCTGGATCTCTCGAGAGGAAGGCGAGGGCTGCCTTGGTGGCCACCGCCTCGTTGTTGCAGGTGTCGTGGACTTCGTAGCCGAGTTGGATGCCGGGCAGAAGAGAAGTGGAGTTGTTGATTTCCTCAATGGCAAAGCGCATGGCCAGATGCTGTAGGTAGCCAATGAGGTAGAAGCTGGTAAGGGAAGAAAAATTTGGGGGGGGGGGGGAGAGGAAGGATTATGGCAAATGGTTGTTCTGGGTTTTTCGGGCTATTTGGCCGTTGCTGTCCTCTGAAGATGCACATGGCCACAGAGACTGGCGAAACGTTAGGAAGAACAACCTTCAGAACGCAGCCAAAGAGCCCGAAAAACCCACAACAACCATTAGATCCCGGCCGTGAAAGCCTTCGCGAATAGATTATGGCAAAGTTGGTTTCTTTTAGATTCTTCCAATCGGCTTGACTGCGGTGGCACTGCCTGGCCTTGGAGACTGTGCCATGTTGATCAAGCTCTGGCCAACCTTGTATGAACTTGAAAGCAAGACAGGAAAGAAAGCACACCCGGGGGCGGGGGAGGAATTATTTGTTTGACGTGTAGTGCTGGAGGAGAGCTTTGTAGATGCCAGAAAGACGAACCAGTGGGTTCCGAAATCGAATCAAGACTGTCTCTCTGATGACATGAAGGCTGCCCTACTTTGGGCACCTCATGAGAAGGCAGGATGCTCTGGAAGAGACCATCATCCTGGGAAAGGTGGAAGGCAGCAGGAAAAGAGGAAAACCCCCAATATGAGATGGACGGACTCCCTCAAGGAAGCCATTGGTTTGAGTTTATAAGGACAGGGCATTTTGGAGATTGCTACGTTGGAGGTGACTCCTTCCTTCCTTCCTTCCTCTTATATTATGCCTTTTTGCCAGTGGAATGGGACTCAAGTTGGCTGTCAACAGAGCACCCGTTCCACCATATTTGATCCCAAAAGGCCCGTTCAGACATAGTCCCTGCAGACATAGACCTGCTTCCAGCCCGTCTTCCCCATCTCAAGGTTCTTGGGCTGTGATCCTTCGGAACAGCCAAGTTCAGGAGCTGGTGACTGGTGGGTATTTGCAGACCCTTCTCTCTTCAGCTTTTGAGGTCTACTCACCTGTAGCAAGCGGGGAACTGGGGCTTCCCATCCACGGTCAGGTACTGTACTTTGGAATGAAAGGCAAACATCCCCCCGATGATAAAGTCCCCCGGAGCATTGAACCGGGTAGCCGGCGCGTCTTCCTTCGCCTTACTCATCCGTAGCGAGAGGATGGGTGCCAGAAGACCAAGCAGTAACTTGGGAGCCATTTTGCCTGCACAGGAAGGATTGAGAATTTAAGAGAACCTCAGAGGTCATCTAGTTGTGCGGTTCCGAACCTCGGGTCTCCAGATGTTCTTGGATTGTCTCTCCCAGAAGCCTTCACCATTGGCTGGGCTGGCCAGATGTTCTAGGATTTGTCGTCCAAGAACATCTGGGGACCCAAGGTTGGGAACCAAATCTAGTCTCCCACCCGCCCCCGTGATGCAGGATATTAGTAGCCAGAACATCCCACCTCAGGAAGGTTTTTCTGGAGTATTTAACCTTCCCCTCGTGGTCACTTGAACACCTTAGCTGGTTTGCGTCATAACTCCCTGAACTGCCAGAAAAGTCATTTTCTCCATCCTCTACACGTCCGCCCTTCACATCACCACACCTTTTGGGCAACAGATCCCATCAGCCTTCATCAGCCATGGCCAATAGTAAGGGATTATGGGGTTTGCGCTCCTGTCCCTTGTTGAAGGGTTGCGTTTGTGCCAAGGAGAGAGAGCGACCCTGTAAAGTTCGGACTGCAACCCGAAGCGGAGTCACTGAACGCAGACCCAGACCCACAGAGAGAGCGACACTAGTGACACCAGCATCCACGGCCTTAGTTGGTCAACAGGCATTGAGGGAAATGCATCCTGCTGGGCCACAGCACCAAAATGAACCCAGTTGATCGCTGTTGGTCCAAACCTAATTAAGTGCTAATGCTGTTTTACACTCACTTCTCATTTGCTCTGAACGCAAACCTTGTAGGGTTAAGGATAGCTAGCCAGATAGCTCAGTGGGTTGGGAGTTTGATTTCCCCCACTGGGCCTCCTGGGAGAAGAGCCAGTCTGGGTAGCCTTGGGCCAGCTGCACCGTCCCAGAGCCGTTCCAGAAGAAGGGAATGGCAATTCGGAGCACTCTCCACTTGGAAAACCCTGGGAAAAAAAGGATGTGACATGTCAGGATTAACCTGATGGCTCACCACCACCATCATCACCCTTAGGATTAAGCTATTATCTCACTCTATTTCAGGCTGGTATCTGGGAATCCAGGCTGGCTGTAATAAGCCACCATCAATTATGAAAAGGACACTCTCTGTCCTTTCTGATGTGCAAAATTTCTGATGTGCAGTAATTTTGTAAGGAAAGGAGGCAACATCTTACCTTGATGTTCCTTCCCTGTACTGTATTTCGAATTCGTATCTACCGTTTCTCCCTTCCTGCTTGTGTGCCTGGTTTGGCTCCTCTCTGCCGACGGTCCTCGGTCTTCTCCCGTTGACCTCATCCAGCGGATTGGATCTCGAGAAGGGCCGGCAGGGCAGCTCCGAGGTTTAAAACCCAAGGATATCATCACATTTCTGATTTGAATAGCGGTTTTTTGGAAGGAGAATTTGTCATGTTTTTCGAAACATGACAAATGGTGGCTGGCGACTCTCTCCAGGGAAAGGGAGGCGAAGAAGTCAAATGACAAACAAAACGAATCGTTTGCATGACCTACCAGGAACGAGACAACCGGGGTCGGCCACCTGGCAGCCGCTGGGTCAAATCTGGCCTGCAAAAACAATACTGTTTGCTCTCGCACCGAATTGTTTGCGACGCCGGGCGAACCGATGAATCGATGGCCGGAATCTGTGTTTGCCTAAGGCTTGCGGAACTTGCCACCGTTAACTGAGGCGAATGCTGGGGGCAGATGTTGGTTGTGTGTTTAATAGTGTGCTGATTGCACAGCCAGGGTGCCCCTTGGCATGTCTGTGGTGAGTTGTGCGAACTTCACACCAGCACCAAAAGGATTCTGCCCGGTGGCATCTAAAAGATCCTGCCATGAACAGCTGTGGCTTCTAGGGATGCTATGTTGGATTTCTTGAACTGAGCCATAATACTCCGTTAGGGGAGATCTACCTACCTTACGGACAACCTAAATCTGATGCCCATCGGAGAAATGCCGAGAAAGGCTTGGAGGCTCGACTAGGCCTAGTTCCGCTCGAACTAGCTGAACACTTCCTTTCTGAGCAGGAAGTTTGTGTAGAGCTAGGCCTAGGTAGGCCTCGAGGCCTCTTTCCCAGGTGAGCCACATTGAATTCCTTACAAGCTGTCCGTAAGGGAGGTAGAACTCCCAGAGTGGGGAATTATAGTATATGTAGTCCAGAAAACCAACCCATTTCAACCCCAGTGGCTTCCTTGACTGGGTCTCATGGTTGGCTTCCCGTTTTCCTGTAGCCTTTCCACATTTCATAGCATGATGGCCTTTTCCAATGAATCTCGCCTTCTCATGGTTGGGCCCAAAGTACCATCTCCTGAATAGCCTCCTTTTAAGCTTCTATGGAGAATTCTGGCTTGAGTTGATCTAAAACTCATACATGGGTCTTGCTTTGAGTTTTGGATACCAGTAAAAGCCCTCCTCCAGCATTACCCTTCAAATGGGTTGGTTTCTATTGGGTTCTCCTGGCCTTTGGATGATTTTTAGCTGACTGAATAAACTCGGTGGTTGAGGTCTCTGGCTGGGCAGGAGTTCGCTTCCCTCCTAGGAGAAGAACCAGCCTACATAGCCTTGGGCCAGCTGCACAGTCCCCAGGGATTCCCCCAGAAGAAGGGAACAGTAAACCATTTTATGGATTCTTTCTAGCTGGATATGATCAGAAGTCAGAACTGACATGATGGCATATGATGATGGAGTCATTTTTCTGTGTTGGCTGATAGACTCTAATTACTTTGATCTTGATTGTGGAATTCCTAGCTCTGTATTCATTTACGGACTGGTAGGACCTCGTTTTATATTACTGCCCTTCTTTGAGTTGTTGACCCCATGGTAGGACTTGATTTGGACTCCTTGGCTATGCCTCTGCCTTCATCTTTTCTGGACTAGAACCGAGCTTTCTTATCAACCCATTGACCTCATACAGAACTGGCCAAGCCACCAGGTTCTTCCTGCCTAGGAAAGGACCAAACAGAGGAAGCCTTGGGAGGACTTGATTTGCTCCTGACTTGATTTGATGTCTGAAACTTAGCTCCCCATCTTTTCCCCAAAAGGAGACACACAATAACGCCCAATAAAATCTGCACCGAACGTATAAAACGAGATGGACAGTTGGGAGAGGAAGTTAAAGTAAATGCACATTTTAAAACAGGTCAGCCTAATTAAAAGGAGGAATTTTAGAGATGTGTTATTCTGGAAACTACAGACCTTGGATGTTATCTTTAAAGAAGTTGTTGTCTTATTTCTCCTTTTGCAGGGTGTGATTTTCAGCAATGAAAGTAAGTTTTTATTCTCCCTTCTTTTTCCTTGTAGCAAACAAGAAGGCAGATAGTCTTGCATTGATATACTGGATCTTTCTTGGCAGATCTTTGCACAACCACTGAGGCGTCAAAGCGACATTTGGCTTTAAGTTGTAAAACAACAGTTTTGCATGAGGAACGGGAGGTTCTGTTTTCACTTCTTCTTTATTTCCATGTCCTTTGCATGGACTGGGGAGCAAAACCAGTGCATTCAAATCCCTTTGAAAAATAAATCCCTTGTATCCCATTGAGGGACTCCCATTAAGCCAGGAAATAGATCTGATTTCAGCCCCAATCAGGAATAAATGTGAACAATACAGCTGGAGTGTTGATCTTTTAAAAAGGTGTTTTCACCTGCTTGGAGATGCTGTAGATTGTAAATGTAACATGCTGTGAAAAAGGCAAGTGTTCTATCGCTAAACCAAGGACTCTCAGATGTCTGAGATCCCGGGCTTCATGGTTCCAAATAACAGACTGATTTAAATAAGAACGTAGGAAGCTTCATGATACCAGATCAAATTGTGGGTTCATTTAGGTTGCTACTGTCTAACCCTGTGGTTCCCAGATTTGGGCCCCCAGATGTTCTTCGACGACAACTCCTAGAAATCCTGGCCAGCACAGCAAGTGGGGAAGGCTTCTGGGGGTTGTCGTCCAAGAACATCTGGAGGACCCAAGGTTGGGAACCACTGCTCTAAAGACCGGCCTTCCAGATCAGTCCAAGGGGTCACTTAGCCCAGGAGCCTCTTTTTCCTGTAATGGTCAGTTAAATTTACAATCTATTTTAAGAGTTTAGGAGCAAGGACTCTCAGATGTCTGAGATCCCGGGCTTCATGGTTCCAAATAACAGACTGATTTAAATAAGAACGTAGGAAGCTTCATGATACCAGATCAAATCGTGGGTTTATTTAGGTTGCTACTGTCTAACCCAGTGGTTCCCAGATTTGGGTCTCCAGATGTTCTTCGACGACAACTACTAGAAATCCTGGCCAGCACAGCAAGTGGGGAAGGCTTCTGGGGTTTGTCGTCCAAGAACATCTGGAGGACCCACGGTTGGGAACCACTGCTCTAAAGACCGGCCTTCCAGATCAGTCCAAGGGGTCACTTAGCCCAGGAGCCTCTTTTTCCTGTAATGGTCAGTTAAATCAACAATCTGTTTTAAGAGTTTATTCAATTACATATGTGTTTCTCATCCGGGAACAGAGGGTCTACTGGCGTTTAGATTGTCTTCAGACAAATGCTGGCTCTATGGCTTGGAAACGGGGATGAGCACCGCCCCCTAGAATCGAACACGACTGGACAAAAATTGTCAAGGGGAACCTTTACCTTTACCTTTTAAGAGTTTATTCAGTTACATATGTGTTTCTCATCCGGGAACAGAGGTTCTACTGGTGTTTAGCAATCCTACTGAAGACCACGAAGCAAAACATCTGAACAAAATAAGCAGGAGGGAAATCCAAACAAAGCTAAACCACACACTGGAAAAGCTGGAAAACAGTATGTTAAAAATATAGACAACAAAGGGCAATATCCTATTGTGAGGCCCAACAAGAAAAGTAAACCCATGGACTCAATTGGATTTCTGTTAAATATTGGCTTCCCATTTGGGAAGTGACTCCATAGGTCTACTCTCTAGTTGAGACTAGCAGTGAGGTACCAGCTGAAGATCCAAGTCTTCTCGCACAAAAGTCCACTTTTGGTTATCTCACACCTTGTTTCTGAATTTTAGCCGTTAAGAGATGGAACGTTGTCTGTTCCTATGATGAGGCCATTGAGTCCGATTCCCTGCTCCATCATCCTGTCTTTCCCCCAGGGAACTCTTGCTGCCTCCCCTGTTCATCGTCAAAACAACCCTATGAGGTGGGTTGATCTGAAAAGGAAACAGGGAGAGAGAGAGAGAACAGCCTAAGGTCACTCAGTGAGTTCCCTGGTGGAGTGTGGAACATGAAGCTGGTGTCCTGATACAGCGGTTTTAAGTACCTTGTCTACTGTTGTTAGTTTTTATGTATCTTAGATGTGAACACAAACCATGGTTGGATGGATGGATGGATGGATGGATGGATGGATGGATGGATGGATGGATGGTTGGTTGTTGGTTGGTTGGTTGGTTGGTTGGTTTGTTGGTTGGTTGGTTGGTTGGTTGGTTTGTTGGTTGGTTGGTTGGTTGGTTGGTTTGTTGGTTGGTTGGTTGGTTGGTTGGTTTGTTGGTTGGTTGGTTGGTTGGTTGGTTTGTTGGTTGGTTGGTTGGTTGGTTGGTTTGTTGGTTGGTTGGTTGGTTGGTTGGTTTGTTGGTTGGTTGGTTGGTTGGTTGGTTTGTTGGTTGGTTGGTTGGTTGGTTGGTTGGATAGGGGAGGGAGGGATGGAGAGATGGAGAGATGGGATGGATGGACAGATGGACAAACAACCCTCTGCCAGATCTGCTTTGGTTTGGATTCCTGCCTCGAGCAGGGAGTGGGACTCAGTGTGCTAATAGGCTCCTTCCCACTCGACTATTCTATGATTCTACCAAGGAAGACAGTCCATTCAGATTTCTGCAACAATTTTATATCCCCCGAGTTCCAACGAGGGACCATCTTCTTCTTCTTCCTGCCTGAAGCCCATCTCCAGAGCTAATCTTGAGACGCCTTCTCCTGCAGCTTCTCTTTGGTGTAGTCTTGGAAATAGTCCGAGGTGTTCCACTCCGGCTTGAACCACAGGATGTAACCTTTGGGAAGATAATACGTGACCAGCAGTCCGAGCGTGCCACCCAGAACGGAACAGATCACAATGGCAGGTTGGTTGATGGGCTTCACGGTAGCATAGGAGGGCACCGCGACCACCAGGGTGATGAAGTAGGTGATCATGGCGAAAGTGATGCCCCGGGCTGCGTTGTACTTCTTGGGAGGCTGCTGGACCATGAAGGTGCAAAGGAAAGAGGTGAAGGCCAAGCAGGCGTTGTGGCCGTGCAGGAGGAAGAGGATGGGCCAGGACGTGGTGAGACACTGAAAGAGGACCTGGGTGGGCAGGAGCTTGTAATTCTTCACCAAGCTGGCTGGGGTGTGGTAGACGTAGATGGAGCCAAAGGAGGCTTCCACCAGGAAAGACCAGGCCACGAGAGCCCACGGGTGGGTCCGGATGAGGCGATGCAGGACGTTAGGGCGGCTGTCGGCGAAGTCATGCGCCAGCATGATCTGGAGGGCCTTGGCCGCAATGGTGGAGAAGCAGAGGTTGAGGCCCAGGGCCAACAAGGGCTGCTGGACCCGGCAGACCGTGGCGGTGGGCTTCCCGATGTAGAGTACAGTGCTTGTGCACAGCAAGGCCAGGCCGAGGAGGGCCACGAGACACAGGCCGCCTCCCGTGGCTTGCACTGCAGGTGTCTGGAGGTGCTTCAGAAAGAGCGTCCCCAAGAGGCAGATGAGGGCCACGATGAAACACAACACAAGCACCAAGGCGACGGTCATCGGTTCAGACCAGAAGAGGTACTTCTCGCCACGGTTGTGACACTGCATGCTGCGTGCAGGGGACCACTGATGCTCGGGGCAAGGAGTACAAGTGGAATCATCTGCAAGAGAATAGTGGTGATGGAGAAAAGGTGCAATCCATCCATCTCCATCCATCCATCCACCCATCCATCCATCCCTCTCCTTCCCTCCCTCCCTCCCTCCATCTCTCTCCATCCATCCATCCATCCATCACCCAAGGCTGGGAGCTACAATTTTAGAGCCTTGCTTATTCACCACTTTTCTTAAAAAATGGGAATGCTTTCTTAGTTTTACACCACAAAACCTCAAAGCAAACCCATTGCAAAACATTGTTTTGACTAGTAACTCAGGATGTGTCCTTAAGGCCACAGAGACACATTCCGTGTCTCTGATCACCAAATCGTTTGTCCCCAGTTTTCAGTGAGAGTGATATGGGCTTGGGGAGAAGTGGGGCAACCACCCTCGCCCCTTTTCACCTGAAGAACTACGGAAGGTCCCGCTCTCGCAGTCGATACAGTCGTAACAGCAGAAGTGGAACCCTTTCATCCGACGGATCTGCCCCGCCAAACAGGTGGTGAGGCACTCCGACCGGGGTGCCTGGGAAGGAGAGAAAAGAGGCGCCATTTTATTTATTACATCATTCCCAGTTCCACAGATGTCCTGTCTTTCCTCCAGTTTTATCTTCACAACGTTGTCAAGCCAGACTTACAGACACCTCAGAGAAAGGCCTAAACTGGGAGCCTTGAGCTAGGCCTAGCTTGGCCCAAGCTTCCTGTTCCTGCCCTGGTGCTAGCTGGGAGCTTCCTGTCTGAATGAGAATCTAGGCCTAGCTAGGCCTCAAAGCCTTTCAATTGAGGCCCTTCTCCCAGGCGAGCCACATTACATGTCTGTAAGATATCTGACAGGTAGAATTCTCCCAAGATGGGGAATTATGGGCTATGTACTTGAAAACACCTCAAAATTCTGCCCCTAGAGGAGACTGGAGGCCATATCTCCCAAACCTGGTAGGGTTTTCATGGCTCCCCCATCTCTCATCCTCTCTCCCACTTTTTACCTTTCGATCCTCAGTGTGAAACTGGATGTTTGACATGTTGATCGTTAAGTTCCCATTGAACTCCCCCAGACTGATGTGTTCGATTCTGTTATTCTTCCACTTCCACCCGATCACCTCGAAACCTAGGTTGATGCTCTGATCTTCCGCAAAATGGAGTGACTGGTTGTTGACGGTGAAATTGATGGTCCTCAACTCTTCCAGCACCTGTAGAGAAGGGGAAGTGAGGTCACGAGGGACTCTCAGGAGAAGACCCCAGGTCTCTCACTGTTAAACCTTTGGAGAACTCCCTAAAACCTTGTACGTGCAGACATTGGAGAACATCTGTTCTCCTGGTTTTGTCCTCTCGCTGCCTCCGTGTTATCTTCAGATATTTGAAGAAGAGTTAAACAAGGTCAACGCCATGATCTACGCTAGCCAAAGGGGGTGCAGTAGAGCCTCACCCTGCAACCGGGTCAATTTGGGTGGCATGAAAAAACTGATGGCGGAATCGGTCGCCTAGAACAGTGGTACGAATCATGTGGCCCCCATCCAGATTTTGTTGGGCTTCCAAGCCCAGGAGGCTCAGCCAAAGGTTCCGGGAGTTGAAATCTGGGAACCCATAGCTGGGATCTGTGGTACTAAGATGTGGCTCCCTAGCTCTCCCCCCCCCCCCGATGCTGGAGATGGACTGTTGCATCTCACCTACCTGCCAAGACTTGATGCTCTTTCTTAGACATTGCCCCGTCGAGCAACGCAACGCCGCGTGGAGGGCGTGGGCCACACTGTACACGGCAGCATAGACAGCGAAGGTCTGCTGGTGGTGCAGGACCACCTCCACATTCTCGCGGGAGATGTTGTCGCAGACGCCGCACTGCGGCCCGAGGACGTCAGGGCCGACCTTGTTGGCTTCCTCTTGGGAAGCCTGGCAGAAGCCATCGCGTTGAGTCTCTTCCAAGAGACGGTACACGTAATCCTTAAAGCAAGGGATTTCTCCGGCCTTGATGACAAAGCCCATGACCGTCCCAATGGCGCTGATGTTCTTGACCGTGGTCACCACGTCGGACATCACCCAGGCTTCCGTGGCCAGCCACACCTTCTTTTTCAGCCCTAAAGCAAGCGCGGCTTTGAAGAGCTCCCGGACGGATCGGTCCATGGCGAACACGACGATGACGTTCACATTGGTGTCGTTGATCGAGCGGATGATCTTCTTCAGCTTGCTTTGGAGATCGGGGTCCGTGACTTCCGCGGGGATGATCCCTTCGTAGGCAATGCAGATCTTGTAGCTCGCCGCCATGGAGGACAGCAGGCTGATGCCTTCACGGCCGTACTCTTCATCGCTTCCGATGATGGCGATCCAGTTCCACTGGAAAACGCGCAAGAGTTGGACCATGGCTTCCAGTTGCCTCTTGTCACTGGGCACCGTGCGGAAGAAGGAGGGGTACAGTTCCTTGTTGTTCATCTTCTCCGCGGTGGCTCCGTAACTGATCTTAGAAGATAACAAGGGAACAGTGGCATGGATGAACAATCTGATGCCAACCTAGATTTGAAGTTGTATTTTTAATGGCATCTCTCACTACCCTGCCATGCACTGAAGCTTACAGTTTCCTGCTGTGGAGCCAGCGGTTGGGAGTTTGATTCCCCACTGGGTCTCCTTGACAAGGGCTGGACTGGACGCCCCATAGGGTCTCCTCCAACTCTGTAGTTCTAATACAGTGGTGTATCACTAGACGATGATAATCCATTCCACTGAAATCGCTGTTTAGCAAAATCATTGTCTACCGAAAAGCATTTCCCCATTGGAATGCATTTAAACCTGTTTAATGCGTTCCAATGGGGAAGAATCGTTGTTGTCTAGCGAAGATCGGCCATAGGAAAGCCACTTTGTGAACTGCCTATCAGCTGTTTAAATCGCTGTCTTGCAAAGCGTGGGTCCCGAAACCACCTGTTTTGTGAGCGCGGAGGAAGCTGTCAAAATCGTCGTCTAGCAAAAATCGGTTTGCAAAGCAGGGACCAAACATTGTCCAGCAAAATTCCCCCATAGGAACCACTGTTTTGCCAATCGCTATAGCGATTGCAAAAAGTCAATGTCTAGCGAAAAAACTGTCATGCGGGGTAACTGTCTAGCGAGGCACCACTGTATTATTATGTTGTTATTATTGTACATGGCACGGGTAAGCAAACTGTGACTTCTTGAGGCCACCTATGGTCTCCCAAGGTTGCTTTTGATCACCCTAGTAGGCAATGGCAAATATGTCTCATTTGTGTTTCCTGCAAATCAGGAGGAGTGGTAGTTTCATAATAAAAACAACTTTACCTGTCAACAACAACAACAACAATCTGACATCAAGTCAATTCTGGGGACCCTTCCCAGAGTTTTCAAGGTAGAGAATCCCTTCCCCAGTTTACCTGCGGAATCAGGAAAAAGCTGAAGAGCTTAGCCGTCACCGTCGCAAGTTCCGAGTTGTCAGGTCCGATGACGGCCATCACTCGGGTCTCGTAATCGGTATAGTTGCAGAGAACCCCGATGCTGTGGGTGCCCGTCCTGGAAAGGAACAACATGCTGGGTTGGAGAGCCACCATCGGTTCCCGGCAGGTGTCGTAGAGGTCATACCCCAGCGTGATGCCCGGCAGCAGGGCGGTGGAGTTGTTGATTTCTTCCACCGCCAGCTTCATCCCAAGGGCCCAGATCAATCCAGCATAGTACATCCGGCGGAGACTGGCGAAAACAAGCAGAAATTGGGGGGAGGGGGACACCGTTAAGAGTGTAATGAACGTTCCCACCTCTCTTGGTGAGACGTTCTGAAACCCTGCAGCAGAAAGCATCTCAGATCGGTTTGTTTTTCCTGAATAAGAAAAGGTCTGCGGCCGATGGGCTGATATTGTAGACCACAGACAGGGGTCAATTAACTAAAATCAATGGATCTAGTTTGAAAACCAAACCCCACCTCCCAAGATATACACCCCAAAGCCTCCTAAATGCCTTTGCCCTCCCTATTTCCGGCGCCTGGAGGATCCTAAAGTTGAGCTCTTTTTAAGGATCCGACACACCTGCCTTGTTGAGTGGCGCTCAAAAAGACCCAGTTTCCTCTTTCTGGTGTTGGCCAGCTGGACATCGTAAGCTGGACTGGGAAGTGGTAGATGCCTCCAGAAGGGCATGCTATCAGAGAGATCATTTTCTTCCTTGAGCTCGTTAGCCATGTCCATATATATATGTATGTATGTATGGATCCTTAACAATCATACGGATAAGCTTCTCCGAATCGCTTGTGAAAATGTGCAGAATGGGAATCATTTCGCAGGGAAACGGTCCTTGCTTTGGGATTTGTTGTATCTTTGGCTGGAGCACAATTTAAGGGAATACAAGGAAATTAGCAAGACGACGAGGGAAAAGAGGATGTGGTGGTTATTCTGGGAACAGCAAACAGTCTGGCGGAAGGCAGACAATCAACTCACACATTTGAGGAAACAGGGCAATACAGTCCCCAACTTTTAGACGGAAGCTATTGGAAATTCACATCTTTAAATGCCTGCTCCGTATTTCGAAAGTACTATAAATTCTTCCCAGAATCTAGCACAAGAGGAGAGGGATGGCCTTTTATGGCCTTGAAGAGGACTAGCCATGTGTGCTGCAGCATCACATCGTTGGCTGATGTTTGATCCCACCTTACCTGTTGCCTGTATAAGTATCAGGTAGGATCCGGTCTGTGTTGTTGCCGGTGTAGACCGTGAAGGGAAACAAGCCGCCCAGCATGTAGTCTCCGGGTCTTCGGAACTGAGAAGACATGCAGTATTTTTCCTGGGAGAAAGCCCAGTCTATAGGAACTGTGAGTAGAAAGAGCATTGCCATCTCTCTCTCTCTCGGCTGCTTTTGAAACCGATGTCGAACTTTTCAAAAAGGTAGATGAAACAACCAAGAAATGGAAGAGCCCTTAGAAAAGCTGCTGTTTTGTTCAGACAAAATACAGCCGAGGGTGGAGGGCATTTGTTTAGCAAACGACAAATTGCACGCCTGTACATCAGCCATGGTTGACCACCCGTACTAAGCAAATTTCCAGTAGCATTCATTGAGTCCATTTCCTTTGTAAACTGGAGGCCTGGACTGTCTGCATTTCCTTCCCGGCCAGATGTTATTCAAACCAAGACGTCATGGGCTATTCCCCCCAAGCTTCCCAGTTGTCCTAGAGCCGACCTAGCAACTTTTGACGGAGCGATCAAGCTGCTGGTTGCATGCTCAGCGAGCCGCTTTGGATTTCTGTTTTGACAAACTGGCTTTGGGTCTTCTCCTGAGCATTTGCCGATCACTGGGCAGTTAGGTTACCAAAGGAAAGCAAAAACAGAAACGTAAAGAAAGTGCTTTGAACGTGTGCCTTGTTTATCTGCGATAAGATACCCTGCACCTCCCGGGGTCCCTTCTCCATAAGCTCTGCTCTGATAGGAATCATGGGAGTTGTAGTATGACAAGCTCTAAAGGTCCATGTTGATTGAATTAAATACTCCTTCTCCTTTTATATTTAGTTATCTTAGTGGTTTAGGTTGGGAGTTCGATTCCCCACTGGGCCTGCTGGGAGAAAAGCCAGCCTAGGTAGTCTTGGGCAAGCTGCATAATCCCAGGGCGCCCCCTGGAGGAAGGGGATGGTAGCACTCTCTGCCTAGAAACAGGGTCTCCGTAAGCCAGAATTGACTTGACGGAAGATGATGATGGTTCTTCTCCTTTTAAGACTCTTAGAGTTGACCATGATTCCAACATTACAGCCAGACCCTTCCAAATGTAGGACGCCTCTACTGAAATGGTCAAGTACGGATAATCTTTATTTCAGTCCAAGCACAAGAGGTAAAATACAAGCAAATCACAGTGCATGCATATACTCCACAGGATAACCGTGCAAATGTTCTCAGGAGCTCACTTCTGTGGCTTCTGCCCAGCTTTGCATAAAGATATTGATAATTGAAGCTGGGTTAATGAACACAACCAGCTTGTAGGTACATAATGGATCTGCCTGATGGGTGAACAGAGAGTCCAACATGACAAAATCAAATACAGTACTACTTTAACAACACAGATTTAAAAAAAATCCAGATTGTCTTTATTCCAAAGATTTGGCCCCAAATCTTGTGCAATACACGTTTTTTTTTGAATTTTCAAAGTGTTTTTCACCTCCCAGTGCAGACTATATCCGGGATCATCAGCGTTTCCTTATGATTTGTCATTCATTCTTAGGTATAAGCTGCTTAATTCACATTATAGATACATGCACAGAAAGAGAGAGAGTATCCAGCAGAGACAAGATTGATTGTCAGTTTTCAGTCCGTAACAGAGAGGTGCTATATTTATTTATTTACTCCCTCCTTCAGGGGTGGAAGGGGATTGCTGATCACGGTTGTAAGCTAACACTTGAGTAGATCTCTCCTCCACCTCGCCGGCACTGCTGAGCACCAGCTGCTAACAAATTTGGATCTCTCCATTCATTCAACTTGAACGAATCTTTCTCCTGGGCTAGAATCAGGAAGGCTGAGATAACTCCTGTGGGCTGGGCACAGCTGTGGCACACCCCAGTGCGGAAGTTGTATCCCTGCGAAACCTGCTCTGCCAGATGTGTGGATTGTGCTGCAAATTTCCCCAGTTGCCATTTTCACACTACGATTCAATCAAGTATACCTCCATCCGGTAGAACGTTGCTTCCTAACCTTGGATCTTTGGATGTCCTTCGACTACAACTCCCAGAAGCCTTCGTCACCAGCTGAGTCGGCTTAGGAATCTGGGAGCTGCAGTCCACGAACATCTGGGGACCCAAGGTTGGAAACCCTTAATGTTAAAAGATTCCCCTTTTCTCTTGAAAGCTTAATTTGATTTGAAGAAAGGAACCGGCAAGTTGGATTCCACCAAGCTAAGTTCGAAGGGCAAAGAGGTCAGTCAAGCCAGGCAATGGGAATGATTTGACTTCAGGGTTTTGCGCCACCCCAAAGGAATTCGGCAATGCAAGGAATTCCCCTTGATGGGGACAGGACGGTCTTATAAGCCACGAACGTGTGGCCATTCAGACATTGGAGACTTGACCTCCCTGAAGTTTCACAGCCAAGACAGGCATCCTTTCTTGGTTCAGATTATCTGAGCAGTGTTGAACTAGAACAGAGATGGTTCTTGTTCGCAGCTTGAGAGCTGCCTCCAACTTCTCCCACCCTGATGCTCTCCAAGACGTTTTAGGCTACGAATCCCATGATTTGCTGGCAGGAGTGACATCAAAAACATCGGAAGAGAACCAGATTGGAGAAACTGATCGTATGCGGTAGGATCCCTATGTAATCGGAGGGAGGTATATTGCACAGCTCCAGAATATGCACAGTTTGAAGCATGGATGGTATGGCTGCCTTCCGTTGTGCTACTCAGGAGGAAGATGCCCCATTATGGGAGGTCAAGGAGCTTGTGTTGAGCGTACAGACTTTCTGTCACTTCGTAGACTTGACTAATGTGAGGCAGGGCTTCCCCCAGCATCGCCACTGCCTCCTCGTTGGTGCCCACATTCATGTTTTTGAGGAAGGTATCCCGGGTGGGTAAGGTGTAAAACGCCATGCTGGCCGCCTTGCGGATGATCCATGGGTGGTAATTGGCCAAGGAGGCGTTGTAGGAATCCGTGCACAGTACCGAGGTCCGGGAATCCGCGTCGCTCGTCCGGAGGCCTTCCAGGAAGAGCTGCAGCCAGTGCAAGGCACGGTGGAGGCGGAGGATCGTTCGGCAGCCAGATGTGGGGCGGCTGTATGGCTGTGTGAAGTCCACTAGGCTGTTGGAGAGTTCGTACCCCACCATGGACTGGAGGGTGATGTAGTTCTCTTTCTGCTCACCGCTGCGGAAATTCTCCATAATCTGGATTTTGGCCACGGCGTCTTTGGAGATGAACGAAAACATTGCCCCCATCGTGTTCAGAAACCTGCGACGGAGGGAACGGGAAGGTTAAGGCGTGTCGTGTTTAAGAGGAAAACTTTGTGTTGTGCCGACCACGCAGAGGGAAATCTCGTAATCTTACCGCACAAGCCCTTTCCAGCCTTCCAAGTACGGATCCATGAGGACTTCCTGATTGTCGGTGAGGCAGCTCTTAAAAGTGACGAGTACTTTCCTCAGGCCGTTCACGTCGTCTCCGTCTGCCATGGCGCTGCTCTGAAAACAAGTCAGCAAGAGTTAGCTCAGGGGCCAGTTTTTAAATATTGCTCCCCACCCCAAACCTGATGACGAATAATTCCACTTTTCCCTAATCCACAGCTGGGGGATGATTGGTATTTCCCTTTTCTGGACTCCCAGAACCCCCCTGCCGTGGGCAAAAGGATTCTGGGATATGTAGTTTAAAAAAAAAGAAAGAGAACTCTCTACTCCCCCAGCTCTGACCAGTAATTATAATGATGACTGATCATCATCTTGACCATGTATAAGCCATACTACAGCAGTTAGTCCTAAATTTGGCCCTCCAGGTGCTTTGGACTACAACTCCCAGAATCCTTACGCATTGGTAATGCTGACTAGGGCTTCTGGGAGTTGTAGTTTCAAAAAAACCCACCACGGGGGCGGGGCAAAGGCTGAGATCTATTGCTCTAAATAGGCAAAAGTCGGGTGGGGGCTAAAAATACCCAGCATTCCTCTGGCTTCAGGCCCATTCGGAGCCCCCACCCCATATTGGCCCCGCCCCTTTCCCCCAGGGGAGGCTCCCCCCTCTTCCTCCTCTCTGGAGGATTCCCTGCCAGAGCAGCCCACTCACCTTATCTTTTCCCTTTTCCCAACTTCCGCCACTTCCCTCTTCTAAGGCAGCCAATGAGCGCGCGCGTCCCTATCCTCTTTTGCCCGCCTCCTTATACACCTCAGCCAATGGCTAGAGCCCCCCATGGCTCCCCTGCGAGCCGGCTCCTCTGCAGCGCCAGCCAATAGGAGCTGAGACCCTACTTCCGGAACCAGCGATTCCTTTATCCCTGGAGCGGGTAAGGTTCGGTCCGGGATCCGCATGCGTAGAAGGGTAAAGCCTGTGCGCCTGCGCTGGGAGGAAGTCTCTAACTTACAGAGATACAAACAGAAAATTTTAGAGTCGCCACCCTCTCACTTTTAAAACGAAACGACATTTTCTTTCGCTCTAATTTGAAATAAAGATCATATTCATAGGTGGTAGGTGGGTGGAATTTGCCTAACGACGCTCTGTTAAAGATAATTCCGGCTCTATAGTCTATTCAGAAGAATAACACCTTTGTGTCATTCTTTACTTTCTGTTCTCTACGTTGCTTTCCCGTCGCTCGACAGGAAGCGGAGTATGGAGGTTGTGCGCATGTGCAGCTGCGTTTTCTTAGGCAGGGCGGCTCTGAAAGCCAGGTGAGCGGAAGGAAGATTCCCTAAAGTGGGGCGTGTTGTTGTTGTGGAAACGGGGTGGGGGGTTCCTGTAGTGTGGACTCTCCCTTTCTTTTGGGGTGGTGTTGAAGCAGTTTTCCCAGTTTACGCCCCCTGCAGCGGGTTTGGGAACGCAGCCCCATCATCCCCAGTAAGGAAGACTAGGGATTATGGGGTCTGTAGTCCACCAGTAACCTGGAGGTTCAGGAAAAGAATACAATGACCTCTCCTGCCCCTTTCAGTTCTATGATATAATTACTCCCCCACCCCAAATTGTCTGTACCCACATTGCAGTCACAAGCTTGTCAGCCTTTTGGCTTTCTAGAGAAATGCTGCCTGTCCGTCTCTCTCTCTCTTTTTATACATTTGTTGTTGTTTTTTCTCTCTCTGATGCCAGGAACGATCTGATGTGAGAGAGAAACCCTTTTAACGGCGACGTCTTTGACCCTCCTACATGGGATCTCTGAATCAGCCTTCCTTCTAGCTGCGGATCAGAGGCCTTTTGCTTATTTCAGCATGCCTGAAATCAAAGTTACTCCACTAGGTAAGAAGCGTGGATATTGGTGCCTAGTGGTTAAGATATTCAGGGTATAAATTGAGGAGTTCTGTATATTTCTCCCTACTGTTTTAGATCTGATAGGATTTCTGTTCCAAGCATCTGTAAATCAAATAGACCAGTGGTTCCCAAACTTGGGTCTCTTTCCCCCTCTTCAGTCTGTTGGAAGCAGACTGTTTATTGTGTTCTTGGGCTGTAATTCCCAGAATCCTTCATTCCCAACTGTTCTGGCCAGGGTTTCTGGGAGTTGCAGTCCAACATGTGGGTTACTGAAAGTTGGGAACCACTGAGATAGACCATGGCATTTTAAAGAGATGGTTGTTTGCTTAATGATACATAAAAGAGATCCTGGATCATCATCATGTTAGAACTACAGAGCTGGAAGGGAATCTATAGCTTATCAACTCCAGCTGCTCTTCTTAGAACTACAGAGCTGGAAGGGAACCTATAGCTTATCAACTCCAGCTCCTCTTAAGGAGATTCAGTGGGGAATCAAACTCCCAACCTCTAGCTGGGCGTAAAGCAAATATTTCCTCAGTCCACTTCTTATTCCCCCCTCCTTTTTGGGGGAGATAATTTTCCTTATTACAAGTACATCTAATTCTGAGACTCCAGCTATACGTAATGCATCCCTTCTATGTTTGGGGTATTAGGATTGCCCGTAGGGTAGGTGTGGGTGTCAGCGGGCTTGTTAACCTCTTTCCCCTTTTTGTGCTTCCAGGAGCTGGCCAAGATGTGGGTCGGAGCTGCATTCTTGTGTCCCTTGGGGGCAAAAATGTTATGTTGGACTGCGGCATGCATATGGGATATAATGACGATGTAAGTTTGTAGGAGAAAGAATAAAAAGTTATATTATTTACAGTTGTGGTCAGATCAACAGCAAACTAATAAACAGTCTGCTTCCAACAGAGGGGGGAAGAGAACACTCAGCAGAGAGGCGGGGCTCTCTTTTGAACTCAGAGGCAGGAAAGAATGATTGGTTAGTACTCAACAGATTGACAGTCATCCTAGCCCAGAAATGTCTCTCTTAGCCATGACTTGTTAATGTGTCAGCGAAGAGAAGTCTTCTTCTGAAGCATGACCACAGTCTTCTCTCATGTTTCGTAGAGGCGATTTCCTGATTTCTCCTACATCACTCAGAATGGAAGGCTGACGGATTTCCTGGACTGTGTCATCATCAGGTGTGTACGTCTGCCTCAGTGCTTGGACATGAACTGGCTTAGCTGCTGGGGAGCAATGTTGGTTGTTTGTGTTGGTGTAAAGCCTAGCTTTCCTGTTCGGTTTTCCCGGGAAGCTAAGAGCTGCAGTTTTACTATTCTTAACGGATCCCACCCTCCATCCCAGTAAAATAACTGGGACATGTTGGACTGGTGTACAGTTCTCCCTTCAACAACAGTAAGACTAGGGGCACCCATGTTCCCACCCCCCTTGTGTAGTTCAAAATCCATGTACAACTCTTAGCCCCCCCACCCAAAAAAAGAGTAATTTCTCATGACGTGCCCAAAATAGGACAGTCTCAGTTCCATCATTGTTGGCTCCGGAGATTATTTAGACTCAGATTGATTTGATCACAGCTCGTAGCTACAAATTAGTTGCCTGCCTTTGTCTATCTTTGTGTCCCCCGATGTGTTTAATGGAAAACACCCTTAACGCAACAGGTTGGCCTCTGCTGCCTGGGCATGATGGAGTGTGTAATCCACCAACATCCAGAGAGCCAAGATCGGAGACGGCGGTGTTCAAACCCTTTTGTAATGACGACTTTGCGTTCTCCTCTCTCCTCCCTTCTCCCCTAGTCATTTCCACTTGGACCACTGCGGGGCCCTTCCGTATTTCAGTGAGATGGTTGGCTACGACGGGCCCATTTACATGACCCACCCGACCAAAGCCATCTGCCCCATCCTGCTGGAGGACTTCAGGAAAATCACGGTGGACAAGAAAGGAGAGACCAATTTCTTCACCTCCCAGATGATCAAGGACTGTATGAAAAAAGTGGTGACCGTCCACCTCCATCAGACGGTCCAGGTAAGGGAGCGGTGGGGGACCTCCAGCCTGCTGGCACTCACTAATAAAATAATGTTTGCTGTAATTTGAATTATCCTTTTAAATTTTTTTTATTATCTAACACACAAACAACTATCAAAGGAGTACAAATATTGGGGGAAAGGAAGATAGAACGAAATAAAACATAAACACAGGAAAGCGTTTGCAATAATACAATATCTTATGTCATCTTGACTCAAGGGCTGTGTTACAATACTAAAATCCATAATATATATTATATTCACTACCAACGAAATAAAACATAAACACAGGAAAGCGTTTGCAATAATACAATATCTTATGTCATCTTGACTCAAGGGCTGTGTTACAATACTAAAATCCATAATATATATTATATTCACTACCCATGTTTGTTTCTGGGCTACGACGGGCCCATTTACATGACCCACCCGACCAAAGCCATCTGCCCCATCCTGCTGGAGGACTTCAGGAAAATCACGGTGGACAAGAAAGGAGAGACCAATTTCTTCACCTCCCAGATGATCAAGGACTGTATGAAAAAAGTGGTGACCGTCCACCTCCATCAGACGGTCCAGGTAAGGGAGCGGTGGGGGACCTCCAGCCTGCTGGCACTCACTAATAAAATAATGTTTGCTGTAATTTGAATTATCCTTTTAAATTTTTTTTATTATCTAACACACAAACAACTATCAAAGGAGTACAAATATCGGGGGAAAGGAAGATAGAACGAAATAAAACATAAACACAGGAAAGCATTTGCAATAATACAATATCTAATGTCGTCTTGACTCAATGGCTGTGATACAATACTGAAATCCATAATATATATTATATTCTCTACCCATGTTTGTTTCTGGGGCCAGTCATGAAACCTTTTCCAGCTTTCTTTAACATATATTCTTGGTTTCTCAATCTGAATTTTTCAGGAGTTTTCCCCCATAGGAAGTTTAATGTGTTTCTATGGGGTTCCCCCCCCCCCGCATTGCGATGTTTCCGGATAGCGATGATTAATCCGGAACGGATTAATGTCGCTATGCGGGGCACCACTGTATATTCTCGGTTTCTCAATCTGAATTTTTCAACATCCACTGGGAGGGCTTGGAAGCGATTCCTCGTGGATATGAGTGTGGGTGTATTATTTATTCACATTAACTCTGTGACATTTTACATTCATATCAGGGATATTGTGTGTTCTGTCCCCCTCTGTTTCCCCTGATTTAGCTTCTGTATTTTGTTCCCTGTTTATGCCCATGGGGCTCCGACGGTCGGGGTTGCCCCGGCGGTCTGATAAGGTTCTGGGTGTGTGTGTGCCTGGTTGTTCCACTGTATAAACTGATCGCACAACCAGCACCTCATCCTGTAGCTGTTCTGTGTAACTCTGACGGCTTCTTTATGGTAGGATTTGGGAACAGAAATGTAGGGTCGATTCATGCTCAGCGATGCCGGACACAGTTCATCTGACACGATGCACGCATCCTGGCTCCAGAGCGTTGGCTCTGCCTTGGGCTTGTGGGTGAACCACGATTCCGTGCCAAGCCTTCCTAGAAAACGGCAGGAAACAAACAGAAAAAAACAATGCTTTGTTTCACTTTTCCGCAGGTGGATGATGAATTGGAAATCAAAGCTTATTACGCTGGTCACGTCCTGGGAGCGGCCATGTTCCAGATTAAAGTTGGCTGTGAGTCCGTGGTTTATACGGTAAGTGCCTGAGCGGGGTCCGTAGACTTCCGCACACTCCTGTTTAAAGCGCATGGCATCTCTTCATTTTGCATTTTCAACATGTTGCTTCCTTCGAGTGTCCCACTTATCGGAGAGAGAAGGTTGGTGCTGTTGAGTGGAGAAATCTTGTAAATAAATAACATAAAGTGCACTGATGTTCTTACGGCTCTCCTGTGTGAGCAAGTGGGCTGGTCCACAAAAGCACACATTAAAAAAATGTAATCGTCAGTCTTGAAGGTGCCACCATGTTTTTGTCTTTTTAAATTTGTTCTCTTATTTTTATTCCCTTCTATTTGTGTTTAACCTGATCTTCTTTTCATTCATTAGGGAGATTATAACATGACTCCGGATAGGCATTTAGGGTAGGTTCTTGTTTCTAATATATGACGTTATTTTTTACACGGACTAGTTCCATTTTGCGTGCGCACAGTCGCACCCAACTTAATACTCGGGATGCGTTCCAAGTAAATCGAACGACGGAGCACCGTGGGAGTGTGGGGTGTGTGTCTCAAATGTCAGCCAAACCATTTTTCCTTGTTTGGCAAATATGTCGGATAGTCAGAAGATCTGAGAAAGTGTGTGGTTTAAGATTTCTTAGTGCTTGTTGGGGGGGGTCCCACAGGTTAGGGTACACAGGGCTTCACCCCGTCTTTGGGTTTTGCAGGGCCGCCTGGATTGACAAATGCCGCCCCGATCTGCTCATCACGGAGTCCACCTACGCCACCACCATTCGGGACTCCAAACGCTGTCGAGAGCGAGACTTCCTGAAGAAGGTCCACGAAGCCATTGAGCGTGGAGGGAAGGTACCCTTCGGTGACTTTAAAAGAGTGGCTCCCCCCACCTGGGGTCCCCACAAGTGGGGAACGCCTGCTTTTAAAAAAATCTCCATCTGATTTTCCCGTTTTCCCCCCGAATTGTTTAAAATTCACTCATTTATGACCTTTACAGCCTGCCTTTCCTGCAGCGAGCTCCAGGAATAAAAATTCCCTGGGTGGCCTCAGGCTGGTCCCTTTCAGCCTGTTCTGCTTCGCAGGGTCGTTTGGTAGAAAGGTTTCGCTGCTCATCCAAGCAGCTTTACAGAGATAACAGAAGTCTTCTTCTGTGGAAGCCAGGCTAATATTTTCCTTTCCCTCCCCTCTTTGAGAAAAATACGTCCTGTCCAGTCGTGGGTTATGTTTTAGCCTAATTCCCACACTTCTCCCTCTGTGTAGGTTCTCATCCCAGTATTTGCTTTAGGACGGGCCCAGGAGCTTTGCATTTTACTGGAGACCTTCTGGTAAGTATGCGGGCATCTTTTATTTCCCTTTGAAGCCGCCTCACTCTCTACCCTTTGGCGCCAAAGCCTCACCATTTCTATGCCTGTGGAAAAGAACATGTTCTTTCTTCAGGTGTTTCACTCTCTACCCTTTGGCGCCAAAGCCTCATCATTTCTATGCCCGTGGAAAAGAACATGCTCTTTCTTCAAGTTTTTAGCCGTGGTTCCCCACCTTGGGTCCCCAGATGCTCTTGGACTACAACTCCCAGAAATCCCGGCCAGCTAAGCTTGTGGCGAAGGCTTCTGGGAACTGCAGTCCATCTGGGTACGCAAGATTGAGAACCACTCTTAGACATTGCTTCTCTTTCGTGTCTTCATTTCCCCCTGGTAATCCAGATGTTCTTGGACTACAACTCCCAGAAATCCCGGCCAGCTCAGCTTGTGGCGAAGGCTTCTGGGAACTGCAGTCCAAGACCATCTGGGGACGCAAGATTGAGAACCACTCTTAAACGTTGCTTCTCTTTCGTGTCTTCATTTCTCCCCTCTTTGGATTTATGTTTGGGTTTGGTGGACTCTTTCTCTTTTGGCTTTCCCCTACCCCGTGTTCCCTGTTTCTTTTTGGTCCAAGGGAGCGCATGAACTTGAAGGCCCCCATCTACTTTTCGACGGGGTTGACGGAGAAAGCCAACCACTACTACAAGCTCTTCATCACGTGGACCAACCAGAAGATCCGGAAAACCTTCGTCCAGAGGAACATGTTTGAGTTCAAGCACATCAAAGCCTTTGACCGGGCCTTTGCTGATAACCTGGGGCCGATGGTAGGGGCTAGAGACCTGAAATTTTGTGTTTTGGGAAGCTGAAGTCCCAGAACATCAATTTGTACACCTTTATGCGCGGGTGGCTTCTATGGCAATGCACAGCTGTAAGGCATTGGCTAGAGTCCTGTGGCACATGCGTTGTGTCTGGGAGGGAAGGCATGGCCAGGTTATCACGGATATGGTCTAAGATCTATAATCATAATCTTAAACCTGCAGAGCTGGAAGGGACCCTGTAGATCATCCAGTCCAGCCCCTGTTAAGTATGCCCAGTGGGGGATTTGAACTCCCAACCTATCGCTCCAGGTTTCCAATTGCCATTTTTTTTGCTTTCTGTATCACTAGGTTGTGTTTGCCACCCCAGGGATGCTCCATGCAGGCCAGTCGCTCCAGATCTTCAAGAAATGGGCCGGGAACGAGAAAAACATGGTACGGAGAACGCTGGCAAGATATACTGTGCTTCTCCTCTCACAGAATCTGTGATTCAGTGATCTGTTAGAAGCATTGGATGCTAAGTCCCCAGATATGGAGACTAGGATTTGCAGGCCATTTGCTCAGTTTTTCTAGCAGACGGCTTAATGGAGATGCTTTGCATTAGATGGACTTGTCGCTTGTTTCTAGTCCTCAAGGTGTGTGGAGCTATGATGCCTGGCCCTTTGAGGATGGCTGGACTGAGAGAAAGGCTTTTCCCTTTGTCCTGCCGCCCTCACAGGTTCACTTGGTGGGGGACCTGGGAGAGGAGTGCCTTCTCAGTGGCTGCTCCCAGACTCTGGAACTCCCTCCCACTGGAGGCCAGCCTGGCTCCACCTTGGCTGTCCTTCCCCAAGCAAGACCTTTCTCTTCAGGCATATACATATATTAAATAATTAATACAGAAATATAAAGGATGTGTTGGAGATGTGGCCTAGAGATGAACTCCTAAGAATGGAGGCAGCTCGGTCCCTGTTGGTTGTTTTATTGAGAGCCCAAGGGGGACGATGTGATTTTCCTCTGAATTTTGTCCCCAGGTAATCATGCCGGGGTACTGCGTGCAAGGAACGGTCGGCCATAAAATCTTGGGAGGTCAACGGAAGCTGGAAATGGAAGGAAGACAGATTGTGAGTTGAAAACTTTGTGGAGGGCCGTACCCTCCCTGATTTCTTTTTTCTGTTATTATCTGATGAAATTCAAATTGATAACCACAGGAAGCTGAATGTCGTAAGGCAGGTTCAAAGTGGAGAAATTGTATTTGTCCTAAACGTTTGTATACTGTAGTTTTTGCATTTGATGAAGCGAGCTACCGTCCATGAATGGCTTTGTGAAATAAAAACTCTGTCTTCCTCCTCCCTAGTTGGAAGTGAAGATGCAGGTGGAGTACATGTCGTTCAGCGCCCACGCGGACGCCAAAGGCATCATGCAGCTCATTCGCCAGGCCGAGCCCCGGAACGTCCTCCTGGTCCATGGAGAGGCCAAGAAGATGGAGTTCCTGAAGCAGAAGATTGAACAGGAATTCCGTAGGTGTTTCCTCAAAGCCTCCCCATGGGAATTCGTGAGGAGCCGTCTCTCCTTATGGGCCCGCTTGGGTGTTCAAGATCATCCGGGGAGGCCTTTCTCTCCATCTCATCACCTTCCCGGGTGTGTTAGGTGAAGACACGGGAAAGGACCTTCTCTATGGCTGCTTCCAGATTCTGGAACTCCCTCCCACTGGAAGCCAGCCGGGCCCCATCTTTCCTGTCCTTCCTCAAGCAGGCCAAGACCTTTCCCTTCCTGCAAGCTGTCCCTTAACGATCGGCTGCCTGGGTGTAATTTTATTTTTTAATGGAGGGTTGTGCGTTGTTGTTTGGAAGGTAGCATTGGTGCTGGTTTCATTTACCCTTTTAGTGCAGTATTTCTTCAATTCTTTTTAAACATTTGGTCTACTTAGCAGTTTAAATATGACCTTTTACTCAAGTCCCTTCTTGAGGAGAAAGGTGGGGGAGAAATATTTTAAATAAATAAAGGAACTGCTGGAAAATACCATTCCATGCAGACGCTTGGACTCAGTGAAGTGTTAATCCGGCCGGGTGTGGCGCTCCCGGAGTTTCCCTGAGGCGTTTTCTCTTGTTCCCTTACAGATGTCAACTGCCACATGCCTGCCAATGGGGAGACGGTGACCATCTTCACCAACCCAAGCATCCCTGTGGACATTTCCCTTGGCCTGCTGAAAAGAGAACTCACTGTTGGTAATGTATCGAGCAGCCGTTCCTGACTATTTTTGAGGGGCGCGGAGGTTCCTTTACTAGCAGAGCTTGAAAAAGTTTGAAAAATTCCTCCAGTCCTTGAATCTTTCAGCTAGCATGGCACCTAAGGCCATAAAAGGATTCCCACCTACCCCCAATCTTAATCTTACAACTGTTGAACGGCAGCTCTGGAAGGGACCCTGAAGATCATCCGGTCCACGCCCTCAAGGACGCCCAGTAGGGGAATCGAACTCCCAACCTCTGGCAGATCTATCCATCCTAAACTGCTGATCTATCCATCATAATCTTAGGCTCCCTTCCAGCTTTGCATTTCTATGGATAGTCAAGCCCGGCTCCTCTCAGGGAGGCACAGGATTAAGCCCTGCTTAATTATATTCTCTGGGCTTTTTTCCTCTGGCTAATTGAGAGACATACTTTTCTGTTGTGTCTTCTGTCCGAAAGTACACAAATCTTATAGGATTTGAAATTGATCTGCTCTACCCATGAGGACTAGATGCTTGTCTTACCAAACTGCACCAAATAACCGAGATTAGGTTCTGTTAGTTTAACTGGGAGTCAGGCTTCCGGCCCCTCGTGGCTGACAGATGCTGCACGGCACCCTTGCTGCCTACACAACCTCAACTGTGGATGAAATGGTGTGTTGACCTCCTGGGTTAGAAATAACGCCCTGAGGTGTGTGTGGCCTCACGCCACCCGCCCTCCTAATGCTAGAAGTCTTAAAACATAGAATGGAAAAAATGATGTGGAGAAGGTTGTGGCAAATGGTGGGTGAAATTAGCATCTCTGACTAAAAACGCGGGGAGATCCTTACAGGGGTAGGGCTATAATTTATTTCCTGTTTTGTGTGTGGGAGGCTCTAGAATAGTAGCTGTGGTTACACCACCGCCACCTCAGGCCCCAAACGGTGACGTGGACAGCCAGACACTTTCTCTCTAGGGTGGGTGGAAAATGACTGGCGGGTGGTGAATTGACTGCTTCCCCCTTCTCTCCCATGGTCCATCCCTAGGCCCCGTGCCAGACGCAAAGAGGCCGAAGCTCATGCACGGGACCTTGATCATCAAAGATAACGTAAGTGGCGCTACCTCTGTCTTGGCGTTTCAGCCTAGGGGGTGGATGTTGGTGACCAGCCATGGTTTGTCCAGGTGGGGAGGGGGGTACCTGTCCATTTGATGTAGTTCTCCCCGGGTCTTCACTCCCTTCCCCGGCGCGATCGAGAGATGGGCACGAACTTCTAGTTTGTGTCGGTTTGTTTTCCGTCCGAACAGGGGTTTGGCGCTTCCCAGCCCCGCCTCCTCTGGGTGGCGGCCAATCAGAAGTGGCCTCCCAGCTCGCCTGCCCCTCCTCCTTTGGGTGTCGCCACCCAAGTAGGCTACCTGCTGGAGGAGGCGGGGCTGGGAAGCGCCAATCACCTTTTTGGACGGAAAACGAACCAGCAAACCAGAAGTTTGTGCCCATCTCTAGGACAATCGTTCAAGCCATGATGTTTTTCCTCTGCATTTTTCAGTCCTCTGCTGCGACAGAGCACGCCATGTATTTGATCCCACAATTCGTCCCCTTCTGTCTCTCCTCAGAGCTTTCGCCTGGTGTCTCCTGAGCAAGCCCTCAAGGAACTGGGCCTGGGCGAACACCAGCTGAGGTTCACCTGCCGGATCCACTTCCAGGACCCCCGGAAAGAGCACGAGACAGGACTCCGGGTTTACAACCACCTCAAGAGGTAGACCTGGTCCTTGAGACAGGATAGAAAATGGGTGCAGAGTTGATGGAGAGGTTTCTTACAGACCAGATCGTACTAAAAGTGAACTTTTAGCAGTTAAAGTCTCTGGCTGCGGAGACAAAGGTTGGGAGTTTGAATCCCCCCCCCAGGGCCTCCTTGACGGGCTGGAACAGATGACCCACAGGGTCCCTTCCGGCTCTGCCGTTCTGAGATGATGATGATGATGATGATGATGATGATAATTCTAAACCCCTTAAAGCAGTCCCATTAGGACTGTCTTAAATCCCATTCCCAGTCAATCTTAATATATCTGAAGCTGCATCCATCCATGGTTTCAGCTATGTCCTTCTTTGCTATCAATTAAAAATGAAAATGCATGCCTGCCCAGCCTAATTCTGGCTCTCAGATAACTTGGATTCTCTTAATGGACCACGAGCTGAGGCCGTTTTTAATATTTGTTCTATTACTGACCGCACTCCCATGGAACAACACAGAATCCTAGCATAGTGCCCTTTGAACATTTATGTTAGTTAGTTAGTTAGTTTTATATATATCTAAGCAAAATCATCTACCTTTGCTTGTTTAGTTTAGTTTTGGATTATGCAAGTTTCTAGTCCTCTTTAGGGAAAGCAGCTTTCACACACATGGCAGGTCGTTTGAAAATGTGCAGATGTAAGAATGAGGTGAGAGTAAATAGAGGACGAAACGTTGCAAGCTCGGCTTGCTTGTTATCATCATCATCTTAGAATTACAGAGCTGGAAAGGGACTCGGTGGATCTTCAACTCTACATACACACACACACACACCGGTCATCAAGGAGGCCCAGTGAGGAATCACTCTCCAGATACCTCAACCACTGAGCTATCCAGTTCATTGGAATGTCGTGTGTGCGGTTTCTCCCTCTAGCGTTTTGAAGGATTACTCCGTCCAGCATCTCTCCGACACCTCTATCATGGTGGAATCCATCCTGATCCAGGTCACTGTACAGTCGGAAGATCCCGCCACCAAACTTCTCCTGGTCTCCTGGACGTACCAGGTAAGTCTTCACCTGTTTTTGAATGGCTTTAGAAGATGCCATCATCTTGCTCCCAGCTGTCTAGACACACCTCCGCTGTCGAGGGTTTGCGGACAGGGGGAGGGGGGTTTCCGGTGTAAACCTTGGAATAGCCAGGATTGTCCTCTACTCTCGACCAACCTGGGTTGATGGGGAAGGGCGAAAGTGTGCACTTCCGTTACATTGCAGAAGTGGGAATGATGCTGCCACGGCAGAGAGGGGAGCATCCTTTGCTTGAATGCTGAGCTATTACTCGGAAGTGGTTTCCCCTTCCCTTCCTCCAGGGGGCGCCCTGGGACTGTGCAACAGGCTGTTCAGATCATCCATCATCCTTCCCCCCCACACACACACTTTCAACCCGTCTAGAAGTAAAGGGATGGGTAGCTGAGTGGTTAGGTATCTGGACTGCAGAGCCGGAGGTTGGGGATTCGATTCCCCCACGGTGCTTCCTGTAGGTAAAGCCAACCTGGGTAGCCTTGGGCAAGCTGCACAGCCCCAGGGCTCCCCCACCTGGAAGAAGAGAATGGGAAACTATTTGAGAGTACTGGGAAAGCCGGGCAAAAGAGTTGCTGTAAGTCAGCATTGACTTGAGGGCACATGATTCTTTATTTTGCAGGAGGAGATAATTCAATCAAGTCAGTAAACAAAAGTAATTTTTTTTTCCGAGCTTCTAGGCTGTGCCCTTCTGTGACAAAATCTTCTCCAAGCAGCTTACAGGGGGGACAGATAAAACATTGATTCCGGCTTCAGACAATTAAGGTTGAAAACATTTCAGAAACTACCACCCGGTTTATATAAACGTCAAGCAAGAGCCGGCACAAAACCGGCCTCTGTAGGAAAATGAGATTTTTAATTCAGAAGAACTCAGGATTAAAAAAAAAGCGTTCCTAAGGCTGAGGAGAAAGTCATTAAGGAAGGAAGTCGAAAGATGGTTTTTGAGAGCGAGATCCGGAGATTTAGGACGGCCGCCAGAAATCGCACGTTAGGTCTAACCTTTAAAGGCTAGGAGTTGCCACGCATATTGTCAAAAATCTGCTCCCATTTTACAGGATGAAGAAACTGGGAGCTACGTGACCTCCCTCTTGAAAAAGGCATTGCCCCAAATCACAGCTTAAGCCCTGGAGTCTGCTGGGAATCTTCAACCCCACAAAATCCAGGGAACCATGTAAATACTCCGATGGTCAGGAGGTGTGTTTATTTTAAAATAAAAGCAAGTTTTGTTTCTATGGGGGTTTTTTTTTGTCTCTACTGGCAGGGCTGTAACATATACCGGCGTCCCCTCCCCCCAACCTCCAGGTCTCTAGAAGTGTGGGAATACAACTCCCATCATTGCCAGCAAGCTGAGCTGGGGACAATTATAGCCCAGTGGAGCTAGAGGGAAAACCTTCTTCCCTCATCTCTCTCTCTTTTAAAGATTATTTGATTTTAGATTAAAAAGAAAATACAGACAAAAAGAATACCTATCAAAAAAAAAAAACCCCAAACAGCGCTACATCTAAAAAATTCTACATAAGCAACATAAACAATGCAATTGTACAAAGAGTGCTCCAACCCATTGAAATCATTGGGAGCTCGAATCAGTGTTTTTTCCACTTACCGTGCCCCCTCTCTGTCTACTCCCAAAACTGCATTGACCGTTGCAAAGAAACTCCACTACTCTTCCCCTTCATGAGGGACAAAAGCAATAAAATCTCCCCAAATGTCAATGAAAGTATTCTTGTTTATCAAAGCCCTTCTGTACTTTTAATCATTACACGTTAACTGATCATTGAGGGCTGTTCCATGGATTTAATTGAAAAGCATACTTTCCAGTTCCCTGCATCTCTAAGGAAGGGCATATCCTTCAGCTGTCTGGGGATGATGGGGAGTGTAGTCTAACATAGCTAGAGCGGTCCTGATTAGGGAAGGTAGGTGCCTTTCCCCCTCCCCAGCCCCAAGGTCTGCGGGTTAACTCCGCACACTTGTGAATTGCGCGTTCTGTGCCGGGAACCGATTTATCGCAATCCTAACAAGGCTTTCAAGGTAAGTGAGCTGTTTAAGGAGTAGTTTTTACCAGTTTCGTTCCCCCTATGAGTTTCCAGGGCTGAGCAGGGATTCGAACGCAGATCTCCGGAATCCTTGGCGGTCGCTCTGTCGACTACACCACACACTGGTGTATTCGTTGTTAATTATCCCCATAATAAATACGTCGCAATCCGATTCGCAAGCCCTTGAATCAATGGCAGAATGGGGGTGGTGGTGTTGACACACAGGTAGATCTCACTGAGTCTATAGGGCTCCTCCAGTCGGGGTTAACAGCTGGATTCAGGGCTCTCTGTTCAGTCTCCAGCAGCTTCGGTGTAAATAGCCAGCTAAGCCTTTGACTAGAACTTTGCTGAAGACTGCATGCCAAAGCAGATAATCCTGGGCCGAACGGAAAGACCGAGCGGCTGCTTTCTCAGGGGTTCAAAGACCAGAAAAGTTACTTCTGTGGACATCCAGAATTCTGGCTAGGAGACCAGTCGGGAAAAACAACAACACATTTCCAGGTTCTGCTGAAGATTATCATTGAATTCTAGAACCATGGAGTTGGAAGGGGGGCTCTTAAGGCCATCGAGTCCAACCCCATGCTTCAAATCCAATTGGATCTGACAGAGGGAGGTCCCATGTTCTCTTGAACGCCTCCACTGCTGGTGGATTCCGTTGTCGTACTGTTCTCACCGTTCAGAAGTTTTTCCTGGTTTTCGGCCTCAGTCTGGCTTCCTGTCCCTCGAGCCCATTATGATGTGGTCTACAAAGCCCCGTTAGCATCTTGAACCCCTGGTTCCCAACCTCTGTTTTGAAGCACTTTGTTCAACCAGTCTGGGTAAGGTATGGGAGGTGTAGAACATTGAGAGAGTGCCACGGTGCTGAAAAGGGGCATCAAATCTTGGGGAAAAAGAGCCCATTATGATGTGGTCTACAAAGCCCTGTTAGCATCTTGGACCCCTGGTTCCCAACCTCCATTTTAAAGCACTATGTTCAACCGGTCTGGGTAAAGTATGGGAGGTGTAGAACATTGAGCGAGTGCCACGTTGCCCACCCTGGGTTGGCTCAAGCAGATGGGGGGAAAACCCTAGTTGTAGAGCCACCCAAGAAAAGACGGTATGTGGCCTTCCGTCGCCAGCCTTGAGGAGGAGTTTTTAAACAATAAATCAGTGAAGGAATCTTACCGCGAAGTCTCAGAGGTTTCAAGAAATGGTGCTAAAATGGTTGCCAAACATGTCTTCACGGCCACGAGGGTTCCTGACTGTCGTATTAAAAAAAACGAAAGGGCGGCTCGCTTTCTGAACCCGGCGTTTCTGCCAGCGTGGTGCTTCTCCGCCTTCATCCCACCGTCTGTCCCTCTCTTGGGCTGCCGAAAAGGGGCATCAAATCTTGGGAAAAACCCCCTCGATGAGCGGAAAAAATGGGCTTTCTGGGGATGATTAAAGTCCGACCAACTTCCGCGGAGGTCTCACTAACCTTGCCCCGTTGGCTGTCGGCCGAGTGTCCGCCACGTCCCTCAATGCGGACCCCCGTCGGGCAGCCTGATCCTTGCTAATGGTGTAGACGTGCACCGTCCTTCTCCGGATCCAAAACGGCCACCGCCCGCCGGCGGCGGTAAAGTAGTACAAGATGGGGTTCAGGCAGCAGTTGAAGCTCACCAGCGCTAAGGTGACCCGGCGCATTTTGTAAATGAACGCGGCGAAGCGGCAATTCTCGATCACCTTGGCCCGCATCAGGAAGTGCAGGAGGTGGGTGAGATGGTAGGGAAGGAAGCAGGTCGCGCAGATGAAGAGGATGAGGTAGATGGTGCCCAGTGCCTTCCTCCTGCGGGCGCTGTGAGGGATGTGAGCGATCCGGCGCGCGATCAGTGGGTAGCTGATCAGGATGACGGCGAACGGGAGGGTGAAGCCGAAAATCAGCGCGCAGACATTGTAGGGGACCATCCGCCCGGTCCAGCTGGTGGGCCCGAAGTTCTCAAAGCAGACCGTGGTGCTGTTCAGCTGGGCGTGGAGGGGACCCCCCAGCACCAGAGGGCCGGCGATGCTCAGCGCCGTGACCCACAGGACCGACGCCACCACCGCGTAGTGGCCCCGCTTGATCCGGATGTAGGCGAAGGGGTGCAGGACAGCCACATACCGGTCCACGCAGACGCAGGTGAAGAAGGCGATGCTGAGATAAATGTTCAGGAAGTACATGCAGCCCGTGATCCGGCAGGCCACATCACCAAAGACCCAGTGGTTGTGGTGGAAGTGGTAGTGGATCTTGAAGGGCAAGACACCGGCGAAGAGGGCGTCCACCACGGCTAAGTTGACCAGGTAGAGGTAGGAGCGCGGCGCATTCTTCTGGACTCTGCAGGCCAGGAGGTACAAAGCGGCTCCGTTTTCGAGCAAGCCCAAGACGAAAACCGTGGAGTAGATGACCGTGAAGAGCGAATACTGGAAATCGGCTTGAAGCCGGCACTCGGTACTGGCGTTTCTCAGGCCCTGATCCCACTGCACGGGAGTCAGAGTGGCGTTCTCCATTTTTTCTATGGAGTTAGAGAAACTTCTCTTGTAACTGCAGGCAAGCCAGGGTCGTCGAGCGGATCACGTTCGGCAGCCCAGGCCGATCCGGTCGAACCCCGACGCCTCCGTATCTAAAAGCATCATCTTTGAAGTCAGAAAGAGAAGCCACTTTTCACAGTTGAATAAAATGGAGCCTGAAGGAAACAAAACCAAGTGTCCTGTTAAGATGGAGGAAAGGTGTCAAAAATAAATCACCCGTACTAGGCTCGTGGTTTGCCACTGTTGTGAGATGTGCTGTCACATCGCCTCTGACTTACAGCGACCCCATGAATGAGGGACCTCCAACATGTCTTGACCTCAAAAGTCCTGCTCCTCTCATGGCTTCCTTTAAGAAGCCAGCCCATCTCGTATTAGGGGCTTCCTCTTTTCCTGCTGCCTTCCACTTTTAGCAACGTTATTGTCTCTTCCAGAGAATCCTGCCTTTCTTGCCCTGTGCCCCAAAGCAGGACAGCCTCAGTCGTTGGGTCTCACCCCTCAAGACAGCCAAAACCATCATCCCCGCCCCCAAGGGTGGCAGGGGACACCCAAAGATTTGCAGGTGCGCAAAGGCCAAGAAAAACCACCTAAGAACAAACTGGGGAGATGAAGAACAAGGAAAAATAGTGACTCGCCTATCTTGCCTGGAGCCTGGCCTTCCAGGGTCAACGGCCGAACCTCCGGTTTTCTCCTTGAAGGGGCGAGTGACGCTTTTGTCTCCAGCTCTTGAATCGTCAGGGAGCGCTGTGTTGGTGTTCCTGCACAGCAACGGGGCCTCCGACGCCTGTTTTATACCCAAAAAACCACAGGAAGTGGAACCGAAGATAGTGTGTGAAGGTCTCCAGTTAAGCACAAACACCAAGCAGCCAGAACATTCAAGGTAACTGATGGGACTCCGACTCCCATCTTGCTTTGGCTGCCCCCTGCCAGATTTCCAGCCTGATCCAAGCTGCCTTGCTGGGGATGATGGGTTGTACCTTGTTTGAGGCCTCGATAAAGGGCCAAATGAACGCAATACGGCAGGTGCTGAGTTTCCTAAATCTGGAGGTTAGTATGAGCCGGAGAAGAAGAAATCTGGAAACTCAGCAGGTACATCGGAGTGCGTCCCACCAACCTACTTACTGTTTTTAGTTTTAAATATGGTTTTTTTAAAGATGTCAGCTGTCTTGGGTCCTTTTTAAGGAAAAACGGATACTAAAAAAATAAAAATAATAATCCAGATTATTTTTAGCCCCTCTTCCTGCAAAAACGGGTTAAACCCCAAAACAATTAATTGAAACAATTCTAACCACAGCCTTTCTGTAGCACAGAGTTCCACTGCCTGTACCCTCCTGGACTACAGACCCCCATCATCCTTTGCCACTACCTACCCTGGACCAGGGCTTCTGGGAGTGGGGAAGCCCAGAAACTTGGAAGGACCATGAATTTCTTAATCCTCCGGTAGGATTAAGACTGCGATGGCCCTATAAAGTAGGCCAGTTATCACCGTCCTCATAATGCAAGCGAGACCAAAGCTCATGCAAATATTAAGATTTCAGTAGGGACTAGACTTATGTATTTATTTATTTATTGACCACTGATTTATTATTGAATTTATTGTATGAAAAAGGTATTTTTAAAAAAAACCACAAAGGACCTCAGCTGCCTTGCTCTGGTTTTAGCCACCAAATCTGTGGACGGGGCCAGAATGGATCTTGCCCGAAGGTCCAGCCCCAAGGGCTCCGGGTTCGAAACCCAAACGCAAAATGGCAGACTCAGAGAGGATTCCCGTTCTCCAAAAGGACCAGTTTGTTCCAGAGGGGAACGATCCTGTTTGTAGATACAAAAACATGATAACTGTGGGAAAGGTTAGGCCTGCAGGAAAGGTAGGTGGTTTTCTTGGTGAAGGCTTAGAGAAAAGCAGCCACATTTCCTTTCCACTACCACCCTGCAGCGCCTCGCCAAGCGACGTTAACAGAGTCCCGTCAAAACCCTCAGCGTTCCACAAGAGCTAGCCCTCTGCTTCCGACGGACCAATATCTAGATCTGCAAAGAGAGAAAAGGGGGAGAAAGTGAGCTAGCTGGTGGGTAAAAGCCCCTGGTTCAAATCCCGCCTTCTACCCTGCCTTCGCCCAAAATTTTTACATGCCTTTTAAAGTTTGGCTTCCATGAGAACTAGAAACTTGCCAGCAATGACAAGCTCTCACAAAATGGATTTCTGCCTCCCCCCCCACACACACACAAAAGGACCCTCCCATATCCGCACGATCAGTATTCACGGGTATGCAGATCCGCGGTCTAAAAATGTTAAAAAATATATATGTATTTTCACGATGTGTTTACCAGGCTATATCTTCTTGTAAATCATATTTTTGGAATGGGAGTTACAGAGTCTGCAAAAATAAACCACAAGGAGCCCCTACGAGGCCGGATTCCAATCTCTCTCCTCTCGATGTACGGCCGGGATGGTAAACCTCACCCGATTCGCAGTATTCCACGTCTTTGAGGAACAGCCCGCCGGGTGGCGCAACGGTGATGTGGGAAGACGCCATCAGGTCCTGGACCTCCAGAAGCTTCTTGACGTCGTACGGCTGGAGGTGGCCCTGGCCGACAGCCACCAATGCGCCCACCATGCGCCGTACCTGGAAAGAAGGGGTGGATGGGGACGGCTTGGCCATCAGCACTTTATCAAGTTGAGCACCACAGTCGGGCAACCAAGGAGCGCAAGCTTATGGGGGTCTGGTCCAGACTGGAGCATCTAGTCCAGCCCCCTCCCCGCTGGAAGAAATTTAGCATCAAAACATCCCCACACAGCCGTTCCTCCCATAGGTAAGGTGAGCCCGTACTCTTAACCCCACTGTTTTTCTTTTGCAAGCTAAACCCTTCCATGTTCCCTGGATTTACAAGCATCGTGGTTTATCTCCACAATTCACACGATGGTGCGCCCCTCTTCATCAGTTTTACCCCGTGATCTTCTGCTCCCGGTCAACAAGAGGAGGAAAAAAAATAAAATAAAAATGCCTGCCCCTTCCGTCTGTGCAGGAGGTGAATTTGTAGCAGACGGATCTGCTGGTAGGAACCGATGGAGCCTCCAGCCTCAGTGGCAGTATACCTCTGGATGTCCACGGAGGGTGATAGAAGACAAGGGGCTAGGTTTCTACCTTCATGTACTGGTTCTGGGCTACCCCGTGGCGTCCAGGGGAAAAAAAGGATCCTGGTAGTGGTGTCGTTTTGTAAAAATAGTTATATTTCTCCTCCACCTTCCCTTCAGTGAGTCGAAAGCAGGATCGATCTAGAGCTGTCTTTTTCCCCCACTTTATTCTCGCGCCAACCCTGTCATGGAGGCCTGGCTCGGAAGAACCCACTGGGTTTCGATTTCGCTCCTCCTGACCCGGCTGCTCTCTGGACTAGGTCGGGGGGGCAGTAGGGTGCAGTGGTTAGCACGCCAGAGGAGACCTGGAGCGACCTGGAGGCCACTCCTAGGGTCTCCACGGTTGCTTTCGGTCCAACTAGCCTGCCTCGCTGGGTCGTTGTGAAGGGGGAGAAGCCACCTTGTATTTTTTTTTTCCTCTGGGGCATATTTTCCCTCTTCCTGTCTCTGTTAAAAACATAGAGGGAAAATGTGACATTTTCACTCCGCCAGACCCCACACACCCCTTTGGGGTGGTTTAGAAGGAAAATAGTCCTAACTGTTTTTTTTTTTTCCTATTTGCAGAGAGTTTTATGATCTCCCACACAATGTCGTTAACCATGACGCCGAGCAGTCTCATTTCCGTGGCCTCGTCCCCAAATTCGGCAGGAGCGACCGGCCCCAGTCACGGTGCGGCCGCCCACTCAGACGAGAGAGAGAGAGAATGGCCGACGGCTTTTGTGGGGTGCGTGTTGTGTTGTTTTCTTTTTTAGGCTGTTTGACTGGGGGGGGCGAGGGAGGACAGGTGAGGAGGACGGCTGCGAAGGCGTGAAAAGAGAGGCGCCTGTTTCAAAACAAAGAACGCTGCAATGGGAAACGTAACCAACCACATCCCCTTGACGGGGAAATCTTGAGTTGAAAAATCAAAGTTTAAATGGCAAGGCTCCTCCTCGAGCCCCCACCGCCTACAGTTTGCGGCAGGCGCCTCCGAGGTTGTTATTTATAGATATTGGTACCTGAGGTCAAAAAGTAACTTTCCCACCCTCTGGTTTTCTACCTTGCAGCCTTCAGATGGGATTCGTGGAGGGGGGGGGAGGGAATCAATCAATCAATCTGTCCATCCGTGTGTACACACACACACACACACACACACACACACACACACACACACACACACACACTCTCACTCACTCACTCACTCACTCACTCACTCACTCACTCACTTACTTTAATAGTAAAAAGACACACTGTCCACCTTTCAATGAGGGACAAAA